AAGAACTGCTTTGCATTTTTCTTTTCTTGCTAAAACTTTACTTTTAATATATTCTCCTTTATATCGTGATTGTGCGGACATTTTTGTCTTTTATATAAATATTTTGACAGCGGTGCTTCGGTGTCTGTCACTGTATTCATCTACTCATAAAAGTGCGACGTTGCCACGATCTAATTTCTCTTATGTGAAAACTACGTGATACGTAGATTTTCCTTTCTTTTCTTAAATTAACTCATCATGATTTAATATTGTAAGTGTATAAAATACATTGTTTTTTTTATTCTTAGATTTTACATTAACAACATATATTGATTTAAATTTAGAGTTATGTCTGAGTCTATCGTTGACTCGCATAGTTGCAGTGTAACCACCTTAACTTCAATAGGAAAGAATATTATTACATACATATAAACATATATTATTTATACATCTCTCATATTATTCATAGATATATTATCAGGAATGTCACTTAGATATGGCGATGTCTATAATCAAAACTATTCTCAGCTTCTCGTGCCGACAAATTATAGACTCCGGCAAAGCGTTCAGGAGGAGACTCTACTTGCCGCTAGCGTAGACATCAATTTTATGTGTCGGTGAGACGATATCGTAGAAGCGTCTCTTACCCCGTGGCGGTCCTTATATATAGATGTATTAATTATTCCTATCGCGTAGACCCCAGTCTGGCTTGTATTCCAGCACGTTGCAGTTGCAGTTGTAATGCATCCGCGGTCGGTCGTTTCGAGACGGCCGATATAGCGGAAACTCCACTCCACCGTTGCAGCCCACCGTTGAAGAGGCACGTTCCATTTGCGTGCCGTTTACAACTTCGTGGGCCGTTTACAGCTGCGGACTTTCTATATCTTCTATGAACGTATTAATCTCACGATTGTACAAATATTAAGTATTGCTCATTTGATAGATGAAAGAATCGTATTCAGATAAATTTCAATTAATTTTAGAAGTTCTATTTTATTTTCTGATTTATATTTTTATTTTATTTATTTGTTTTACATAATACTTCTATTAATCTGCAGTCTCTGTCGTATTCTTCAATAAAAAGAAACACAAGCTGTGCATATATAAAATAAATAAAAAAAAAGAATAAATAATTACGAAGTCGAGATATATATATATATATATATATATACATATACTATATATGAAATATTCTATTATATTTTGTAATTCCAAAACGAAGTTCTACTAGCACGAATGTTCTGAGTTTCGACCTTCGGCAACTATGGACATCAGATGCTGCTCTTTATATGATTAACGCGAAATAACAGATTCCTGGTTAGAAATTCTAATCGCGGCACCGCCGGTAACACAAATCAAAGTAAAGGCTAATGGTCGCTGATGTCCAGCTCGAGCCACGGTCCGTTTCTGTATATAGAGCATATTAGCGTTTGTGTCATATCTACTACGCTTGTGCACGGTGTTTAGACCGCACACTGTTTCCGGTACAGAGAGAGAGAGAGAGAAACATGACTAGTATCGCGCGAATATTCATATTTCAACGCAGAGCTCGTTGCTCTTCGGGATGACGACGGTCAGCATGTTTGGACGATCCAACGTGTCATGTTCGCTCTCTACACGATTCTATAATCTATACAGAGATACAGATTATTTTGTACTAATGTGAATGATAGGCAATACATTGATATATTGGTACAAGAGTTCGTAGCATTACCTATTTCATTTATATCACGTTTCCATATTTTTAAAAAATTTGGCAATTATACTATTTTATAGAGTAAAGTTTCAGCTTTTTTGAATCTGTTTTTTAAATTCTTTAATGATTTTTAACGGAGTTATGAGCAATCAAAGTCAAAATATTCCTTTTATTTTCCGTGACAACTTAGTAACAAAAAATTTTAAGAACATATTTAAAAAATAATTTTGTAGGGAAAACTTTAAGCTTTCACGTTAGAAAGTCGAAAATTTTTACAAGTTTTTTTTTGGACATATGACAGGCTCATAAAATGAGAAGAAAATTTTCCAGTTCGTAGTTTTCTACATATAAAAATTATCGAACTCACAAAAACTTATAAGACACAGCGACCCCTTTCGAAAGTTAAAAACTTTAAAACCATTTTTTAAAAATAAATTTCGCTAGTTTAATTATTTTTGCAATGCAAAATAATTAAACGGTTTAAATCGAGCTAAATGAATTTTATAATAATAATTTATATAATAATAATAATTCGGATTGATTTTCCTGTTCTCAATGCGAGTATATTGTAAAGGCATATGAGACAGGACCATCATTACAAGTTCGTCCGATCGAGTTGAACGTAGACGTTAACATTTTTGTAACAGTTTGGTAACATCTACGTTCAACTCGATCGGACGAACTTGTAATGAAGGTCCTGTCGCACATGTCTTTACAATATACTCGCATTGAGAACAGGAAAATTAATCTGAACTATGATTAATGTATCAGAATGTCTGTAACGCTTTATCACACATTATATAAGGATATTATCGATCCAATAACGCAAACATCAGTAAGAATCGCTAAAGAAGGATCTGTGAGTCCCGAAACGTACGACAATTTTTTTGTTAGTTAGTTTTTTTATATTGTAAATTTAAGAACAATAATTATCATTATTAAATCCATCGATTTTAGACAGTTTAATTATTTAATTTGGATTTTTTTTCATTTAAATTTTATTTATTTTTAATGAAGTTAGAGCTACTTAAATTTTGAAGTTTATAGCGTTACGTATTTTGTTCTAATAATATATTGCAAAGTATAAGAAAAATAAGAAGGTATTAGCCATCTTTTCAATTTTTATAAAAAACAATCATTTTTAAATGTATTACAATTTAATAATTATTTCAAAAAGTAATGATAATTTTATATAAATTAATATATATATATATATATATGGCGTCGAGTGGCTCACCGCTCTGTGCGATTGACTCGCGATTTGTAGACCCGAGTTCAATCCCACGTGCGCCCAAACGCGATGATTTTTCGCGTTTAATGAGCCAAAAAATGGCTCCACCTGGTGATCAAAAGATCTATGATCATCAGCGCCGTTCGGATTCGGCGTTAAAAACTGTAGGTCCTATACATCAGTAGTATATCAGTAGATATTTGTCTCTAATATCTAACTGAGGTAGGATTCTGTGGACTAATCACCCACAAATCAGAAAAACTATCTGATTCGAGAAACGAATATAGGCCTCGGACAAAAGAGGTCTATAGACGTCCTATGCTCCACATAAGGAGATAAAAGGTGTCGTTATATATATATATAATAAATTTTTATTAGACAAAATTAATGTAAATGGAATTAAAGATGAACATAAAATTAATAATAGATATAAAGTAAAAATGGTACCAATATGTAATGTTACATTATAGTAAATAGTAATTAAAGTTAAAAAATGGTTACATCGTGAAATAGCATATGAAATTGAATATAAATGATCGTTGGAACAGCTATCGAGCTGTTGTGTCTATTTTATAAAATACGATGAATTTATGAAAACAGATATATTAATTTGTTCATATCAATTCTCTGATTAGCTGAGTTTGAAAAAACCTTTGCTATTGTCTCATCAATCGCTTACCGTAATGCAGAGAAGGAAAAAATCAAATAATTCTCTAAGACAAATGTTATAATGATGATTGATGAAATGATATATTATCATAGAAGATATATTCCTTATACATATTTCACAACTATGTTATTTAATACTATTATCCATTCGTTGCGCGTATTATCATTATTTTCGGCTGCAGAGATAAGCTTGTGATTACAGATAAAATTTTACGACGCGAATATAACGGGAGATGAGAACCGCTAATCCGTCCAAATGCTCAGAATGCAAAACAGAACAGGATACAGACATAGCTACTGAATTACATAGCTCCAAGCGAACATGGGTGCAGATACAGTATATTATTATCCCTAACATGTCTATCAGTGCACGTGGTAATATACGTATGTCGAATTTAAGACCTTGTTTCTCAAACAACCTGGTCGATTCTATCGACGAGCTTGATGTGATCCTCGGACGCGCGCTGACGTTCGTATTTCAATGTTAATCTCATGTTCGTCGATGGCGACGACCTATGTACGTCTCTGCGACGCGATACGACATGCGGGACGCGAATGTGTATACGGCGCCGAGAGAAGAGAGGAAAGGGAGGCCTGTGCTTCCAGGCCAGATTTAACGCTTGCATTTACATTTAGAGGAGGTTCACGACGGACCATTGTTTACTAATCGGATCCGGAAAATGGCGCTTCCGGCCCGTGAGATTCGTTCTTAGTGCTGTAAACATGTTCCAATGAACATCGGACAGCCTTATCCCTTAAACGCAACCGTTGCACGTTGCATGTGTTCTCATGCACTGTGATGAACAAATATAGTGGATGTTATCTTCCTTCAAATTCAACTTATACGAATATCGAATTAAAAACATTGTTTTAACGTTTCTTAAATCAGAGATGTGTGAAATTAAAATTGGATTTTTTAAAACTAATAGTAGAATAGATTTTGAAAAAATATACTGTTGTCAAAGTATCTGGAAATGTTGTACATAGTCCGTGTAGCGATAGAATTAAAAACGTGTGTTTTTTTTTTCAATATTTTTATCTTTTCGGAAATTGTGTAGTATAAAAAATTCGCGATACTCTGAATAATAAACTAAAAAAAAAGTACGTACAGTGTGTAAAAAAACAGGTTCTGTACCAGATACTATGAAATGCGCGCTTGTTTTCCTGCTTTTCAACCGGAATAGAAATATCTGGGTGTGACTAAAGTTAACTATTTCACCGTACGTCTCCATTGTGTATACATGATAACATAAAAACCACTCGTTTCAGCAAAAATATCATATATGTAACAGTGATACAAATTGTTGAATACAAATTGCAGCTTTTCTCGGTAACGTTGCCATATTTTTCTTGTCTTCCCTTTATCGTGATCTTTTTTGTTTATGTACGGCGAATTAACAATTGTGTTGTTCTTTTCTGTTGCAGCTTTTGGTGGGCAACAACAATCCGTATTCGGAGGAGGAACAAATCTTCGATCCAACTATAATCGCAACAAAAATCCGTTTTATCCCTTATACCTCTCATATGCGCACAGTATGTATGCGCGTAGAGCTTTACGGCTGTTCATGGACAGGTGAGTGAAATATATGGACATATTCCTTTTTATCATGTTTCCCGATCATCTATTCATTTGCAAACTTGTTGTCCACTTCGCTTGCAGGCGACGAAAATATATATTCGGATCAATATATTTCAATTCATAATGTTTGTCACATATTTTTTATTGCAATTTTAACTGTTTGAAAATAAATGAAAAAATATTACAGACCGCGCGATCTGAAAAAATTTTACCACTAACATATTACGCGCAAAATGGTGATGCAATATATAAAATTATTCGAAATGTAAAAAAGATATAATTTGATATTTTTTTATCAAATTAGAGTTGTTACTCTTTCGCGTCACTTTTTTGTACTACCATGACAAATTAATTTTACGCTATATATATATATATATGTATATATATATATGTAAGTAAAGCCAATTAAACGTGATTTCATCAACACCTGCACTACCACACTAGACACTTATGAAAATAAAATTGAAAACAAGCGGTAGAAATCCCTTTGGAATCGCTTGCGTGTCATCATGCATTTTATATTTCACATTGGTTTCGTAGTCGACTTTCTCTCGGAACTACCTGACGAGAGACCGCAACCGCCGCAACCTCAACAGTAACTTAGATTTGTACTCTAGTCTGGTGATTGGAACCAGAATAACTAAAAAAGAATACGACGGAAATTTGTATACGGTACCAGAATTCGATACAGATTTAGCCGTAAAATTCAAAATCTTTATTTTCATCTTTGTTCACGAAACTCCTGACTTGTTCGCAACAAGAAAATCTTGTAATTTTTAATCTTTTTAATCTTTTCTTTTTTGGTGTTCTTTTTGTTGTACTTAGATCATTAGGCTTACTAATCTTTTTTAATCTATGTAACACTTGCAATAGGTGATTGAGGCGCTTTAAAGGATTCCGTCCTGTACCACGTAATAAATAACGATATTTACGAGTATCTGTTTACTTATTAAGCGACGCGATAGCGTCGCGACGCCAAGTGTATAAAAATTATAATCGCTTGATTGATCGCGTAAACGTTATTACGTATATGTTCGTGTCACTGCCAAATTCGCGACGCTACCACTAGCTTTATCTGGAGTTTTCACATCTACAAACTTTAGATTAAAATTACTTAAAAATTAAGAGTCCAATTAAAAACCTAAAAACACTTTTATTATATATTTATATAATGTCATCGGTATTTTTCTATTGCGACCAGTCTGAATAACATTGGTGCAGTCGATATCGAGATCTGGAGACCGAATTCCAAAAAAGATTTATTTCAAGATTTTTTTTTAATCGTACGTATTACACAATCATGTAAAACGTTTTGTCCATTAAGCTGCTATTCGTAATGAATACATGCAAAAAATAAATTAATTAAATAAACTAATAAAATTAACTAAATTATAAAAAATAAATAAATAAAATAATTAGATAAAATTAATTAATTTAATTTAATTTTAATTAATTATTACTTCAATGCTAACCATGAGACTTGTTATGAGAGGGACTATCCAACAATGAAGAAAAAGAGAAAATAATTAATTGGTAACACTCGCAAGATTATTGACATCTATTTACGACAAAAAACATCGTTCGAGATGCAACCATCTCATCTACAGCACAAGTAATAAGATTGTTATTTTAGTTTTTTTAAATTTATATATGTATAATCACATACTTTTTAAACTTTATACGTTCTCACATTGAGAATGACCCAAGCGAGGTCGAAACATTTATAATTGTCATACTTTATGTTTCATATTTTAGTTTTTTGTTTAACTTGCGTTTGCGTTTTTGTTTAGGTATATAATGTTTTGATGTCATTAAACTTTTATTACACTTAATATCTGGCTCGTAGCTTTTCTACACCTATTATTTTTTAAGTATTTGCCAAATTTCTTCTTCACTATAATCCAATTGACAATTTTAGCCACTTTCGGTCTGTCTTATGTGCCTCGCGTAATGAAATACTTGGTTAATTACATTTATCTCATACCTGTTTTTGATTAAGAAGTTCAATACCTTTATTATTCAAGAGATTTTTTTAAGGTATCTATCTATCTTAATGATGTTATTTAATATTATTTACTTATGAAGACGTATAATGAATTAAAGCACGTGTAATTAATTCGCATTTTGTTTGCCACGAGATTTTGAACTTGAATTTTCGTCAACCTTTGCTGACTATCTGACAAGACGCCGATGTAACGTGTCAGTCTCTCCTGAATCTGAGATTAACATAGATTTACGATCACGGTGGGCCGTGAGCCACAGCTGCGTCTACATTAATCCAACCACGACGAACTATGCGGCAGCCGCTAACTGTGCCATCCGCATAGCCTCGACCATCGTTATATCGTTTAAACGTACAATTACAGCGGCTGCCAATAATATTGACTTGCAAAATAAATTGTGACTTACGAATGGCATTAGCAAACGTTCGGGCCATTACCGAGTAAGGACCGTAACCATGCAAATGACAGAAGGAAGATATATAGAAGAGAGAAGAGACATAGAATTATGTTCCACAATTATCGTAATGAGATACCTTTTACATTTGACAAAGGTTTTAACATTATTGTCGTCGATTGTACTACAAAACTACAAAATGGTTAGAATAAATACAGTAAATAAATAGATGGTTACAATCGATACTGTATTTCATCGATGAAAAAGCTGCGCAAATGGAATTGATTTTTCATTCTATCGGTGCTTTAATGAAAACGGTCTTTTTCAACTATTTCACGTAAACATTGCAAAGTGTACCAGAGAAGCATATCTCTACACATATTTCATATTGAAATTTGCTAAAACAATTTACCATTTGAACGCCATTGAACGGAAAAATACTCAATTGGTATGAGGGAGCGCGACGCGGCATTTCCCTTCCAAGTACCAAACCATGTAACTCGTTCGTGTTTATTGACGTCTGACAGTCTAGAAGTATATTTTGCTCCGATATATAAGTCGCTTACTCGGACGCATTTTTAACGAAAACCCTGCGCGATACGTTGCGGAACGAAAGAGAGCCCGACGTCGTGATCGGTGAGATCCGCATCACAGCACGAAGTTCTAGTCTAGTTATTGCGTGACAGCGCTTTAGATCGATCCCCGGTAATCCTCGGTGCACCGAGATTAAAAATGTTGACCCTCGTTACTTCTTCCCGATGACGTGCGCTTTACCCGTAACCGTCCGCAATCTTATCACGTACTGTCGGGAGAAAACGTTCATGGCCCGACCACGTAGCAACGCGCGCGATGATGCATAGTTCAGAAGCTTATATATTCTTTATATCGCGGCTTCTCCTTATTCTTCCAGAGGGTCTCGTTTCGTATTCCATGCCCCAAGGAATCAAGAGGGGTTCCGAGGTTGACCTTTCCGACAGGACGTACGACGGCCGCGAAGAAGCGGGTTACCTCTCCGGGGGACTTGGTCAACTTGTCGACGGGCAAAAGGGTCCCGACAACTTCAGATTGGACGTCAGCGGCAACGGAAAGGGTAAGGCACGGACTGCTTCGTGTTGGAATGAGATTAGCGCCGGCGCTAGATCGTGTCTAGATTAACGTGATAGAGCCGTCTCCGCGAGATACCCTACCCACCAACTGTCTAGTCTTCTTAATCTATCGGTATCTCACGCTATCTTACTCGTTAACTTCTTTCTCCGGGCTAAATAGCGGCTCGCGGCCCCGTAACTCCCGTTGTAATTTTCCAACGTGGACTACACGCGCCTCTTCGAGCGATTACGCTCTTGTGTGTTTCAGGATGCTATACCATTAATGTATGTACGCGGCGAAATAAGAAAGTGCAAATGAAATAAGAGCGTGCACAAAGCGTATCACGAATAATGTTGAAACGCTACGTCAGTATCCTATACGTAGCTGTTATGTATGAAATGCATTCCTCGTAGCGTGTAGCACATATATATAATTTCAAATATGTGAATGCGCGACGAGAATTCTGTTAAAATATCTCGGATAGCTTCCGCTTTAGAACGAACATATTCGCTTCGTTATTTCATGAATTTTCAATTTACACGTATTTTATTCGCTTGATTTTATGTATCAAAAGCACACATTACTTTACCAATATATTCTTTCTTTTATATGAATGCTTACCTTCTGGTCGATTTGTTCGATATATATTTGATTAATCCAAAATGTATTTTTTTTTTTTATTTATTTAATGAAGCACTGATTAATGCGCGCGATATACCGACTGGAACTTCATCGTGTCTGGTGAACAGCAACTATTCTACTACGGATATCCATGGATTTTGTTCAGGAAACCAAATGACCGTCAAAATTTAATTGAAAAGGATGCGTTCGTGTACGGAAACGGTTTTTCGAACGATTGATCAGGCGCAATATTCGTCGTCGCCTATGCGAGATGCGTCCGTTTCCGAAGCGTGTACGCCGGAATGAAAATGAAATTTTCCCGTCGGTCTACTCCAGGTGTGTGTGTAGGTGTGTAAACGAGAAAGTCGAAAGGGTCAGCGCGGAGTCTAGAAAAGCCGAGAGGGCCAGTGGAAGAGCTTGAGCTTCGGAGCCAAACGTGTTTCACAGCGCGCCCGCTCGAATCTGTTCCAATTTACATTTATATTGAACCGCGAGCTAGGCTGCAACCAGTCGGCGCTGTTTACTCGCCTTCTAGATACATTTGTGTCTTTCCATTTATGCCACGAGAGACACCCTCCACCGCTGCTGGTACACTTGGATACACCGTCGTACTTCCGCCTTCTTAAACTTTTAAACCTGGCAAAACTGCGTACAACTTCTCCCGACTCTCTTTAAACCAGGAAATGCCGTCGTCCAATATTCCTGCACTCGAGACAAATTTTTCACTCGAGATCGATATGTTTTGCACCGGCACCTTCATTCGAAAGTTTTTAAAAACATTTCAAAAACACGTAAGAGAGAATCGTGTGCAAGTAGCGAAAAAAGAAGAAAATCATAAAATATGTACGAAGTTATTTATTAGATATATTCATATAGTATATAAATCATATTTTTTTTTTTTTATATGAAAAGCGATCAACAACGCGCGCAATTTATAATTTTACAAGATATTCTCGGAATATCGTAACAGAAACTTTCTGCGGAAAACTTACGTACTATATAATTAACTATATCGATTAAAACACCATAACGTTCTCGCAACGAACTTCTGCCTCTCGTTTATAATAAAGTATCGGTGAAACGTTTGTGATGGCTGACAACTCGCGATCATCTTTATTTCTGCTTTACGATCATTGTATGCTTGTACCTGTACAGTCTTCCCCGAAACACTTTAAAGGGGAAAATCATCAACCGACGAAGGTGTTGGTAAGGTATATACTCGCCCAGCGTGGTTATCTTACGATCCCCGTGAAGGTTCAGAATTGATGGTAGATAGCGGCCGAAGGCGGCGACGACAGGAAACTGGAAACTATTTACTCGAGGGACGATATTAAGGGAGGAAGGGGGTCGTATGAAAGCGGATAGGTCAGGGCGATATAACGCCACCGCGCGGACCCGGTATATTGTTGAAAACGGAAGGGACGATCGCAGTAGTTGTCGCACAGGAATCCAAACACAAAGTCGCGTGCGGGCGCACAATGCAAACTGCGTGATTGAAATTCTCGTAAGTTTTAATATACTCTAAGATTCTTATATCGCTACGACGAACCCACGATAACCTTCCGACGATGTCGAAATGCGGCAACGACGACACCGGACTAGAAGAGTCCCTTTTATTTTTTTTTCTTTCCCTCTTCGCAGCGCGGTGTCGTTTTCTTTTTCAGAGATTTCATGGAGAAATAAAGAAACGATTTAAAAAGATTACAGAAATAACGTATTTTTCTAAAGAACTTTTAGGATCTGTTACTATAATATCTCGAAATTGATATATCAAACAAAAATAAGAGAAATATGTAAAAGCGAAGTTTATTTAAAGATTGTAACGTTAAATAAATACAACAACGAGATATTTTTATTTTTCTTGCACCTTGAATGACATAAAATATGTATATTTTTAAAAGTCATAGATTTAAAGAATCAAAGTGTTAATAATATTTAATATTGAATATTGAGAAAATCTAAAATTTCTGTATAAAGCTAAACAGAAAGTATTCAAGAAACCATATTACAGTAAATTTTTTTTTGTAAAAACGCGGCGTTTGAAATTTTTTGTTATTAATTTCGACGAGTACGGCATGAGCTATGTGTATAGAGACATTCAAATGGAAAAATGCAGTGGAGCTAGAGATTTCGGAGCGAATGTTGAAAGTAACAGGGAGCGTTTCTGAGAAACGCATAACACGCCGTGCCGGCCAGGCTTTAGGGTTATTGCAGTCCATTTTCAATCCGCATATTCCCGCGGGACACGTGTGTTTCCACATGTACTCATATAGTGGGATCTAATGGCGAGACTCTCGCGCAATAACCTGCCACGGCCGCTTCATAGCTTGAAACTCTTCCGTATCGCATACCACGCTTCTCACGCTGCTGTATACCGAGCGAAACATTTCCGGGAGAAATGAAGCAAGAGGAATAGAAAGCACGAAAACAAACTCAAAACGTAATTAACGTTTCGAGGAAGCATACGAGTCCCACGTGAAAGCTTAACTTGCGAATCTGAAACGGGTAATTTAAATTCTATTAAGCGAACACTCTCTTGTACGATTTCCAGTAGCGTTATATAACAAGAAACGTCTTTAATTCCTAAGAAAACTGCGAAGGTCACGTGCTTGCAAATTATTTAAGTTACCGAGTTACCTATATTAAATTATCTTCGTTGTAAAACGACAGCACAGTACGGTACTTCCCCAAAGACTTCAAGTTATACGAAACTTCTTTTAGTATTACCTCATTGAAAATCAGTCTTTATTAGGTTTTTAGTGAAAAAATAAAATCTTGTACTTGTGCTCCTTCTCTGGTTTAATACTTTGTATGATTTATTTATCTAACTCTAATTGGAACTTAAACATTAATAAGTTGTAACTTTTTAAAATTGGTATCATATGGTATTTCGCATTATACATGTATTTGATGCATGATACACACATATATTTACTATAGGAATGTTAGATATTTGTTTTTCATGCATATGTTTTCCGTTTACGCTACATTCAAATAAATTCGATGTCACGCACGAATTGTCCACTATTCGCGTTACAGATTTTATTGTCTTGTTTATAGGTGCGTGCACCGCACCTATAAATGGTTTACCGTATCATACAACCCGCAACATAACATTTTTTTTTAACTCACACGTGTGTGTATCAGAACTTTTCTACGTGACATATATAGGTTACAATTTTTATTGGATACGTTCTCCCCATGCGTAAAAGATGAATTTGATATAGCAGACACACAAACCTTCAATTATTGTTAAATATCAAAAAGCATAACACACAGATTTAACGTATAAAAATTACGTATATATTAGCATACACAACTAGCATGCTAGAATAAATTTTTCACTGGTAAATTGATTTTAATTCTCTTGTTAAGAAGAGATTTGAATAGATGACAGAATTCGTCTTCTCACTAGAAATAGAAGTCTTCAACATTTTATTAACTTAAAACTAAGAACATTATAAACCCATTTTCATAATATACGCGTTTAAACAATTTTTTCTAAATTTTAGTACATATTTGATTAAATAATATCAAGTAAATTTTTGCTTCCAGTAAATAAGTAGTTACTCAATAAAAAATATGACAATTAAATTGATTCTTATACTAAATAAATATAAGTTTAAATTTAATAAATATTTATTTAGAACACTATTTAAACAAATATTTATAAAAATTTAGTATATGTTCTTTAGCGTGATTAACTAAAAATTAAAGATTATCAAGAAATTTATCAATATGAAATCCATTCATGAATTTGCCGATAACTTCCAATCTTTAGGTTAACCCTGTATTATGAAAACAGGTTATAATCATATAATTTTAACTAATGACAGCAGGCACAACTCTAAATTTTTTTTCAAGATTCTCCAAAATTGTCAAGTGTTATAACGAATAATCCGTTTGTGTTCAAGGATACGAATGGGTCGGCTGGAGAAACGACACACCCAACATGCTTGGACGTCCGGTGGAAATAACTTTCGAGTTCGACTACTCGAGGAACTTCACTGCCATACACCTACACATGAACAATTACTTCACGAAGGACGTGCAGGTATCGCCATTCGCGCTGTTACCGGTATTATTTCGGAAGTTACGAGCTCCAGGAACTACCGTAAATTTCACGATCACATCTTCGCCAATGCTTCCGTGCTTTTACGCGGTTTTAAAAACATTTTCCTTACGATTTACAGTGCGATTTTTGCAGCACCGTCTGTTCGCTTAATACCTTCATCGATAGCGAATTTCGCAATGTCTCTCTCGCTGAATTATTTCCATCTGCGCGGCTTATCTCTCTAACACGAATTACGAGCATCATGTGTTTCTCCTGCTGTATAACAATACTTTTCATATACGTCCTTATCTAATACAACTTTATCAACGACATGAACATCTTATGACATTCACGGGACGAAGAAGCGATATAATCATACACGATTGTTTCCTTCATTCAAGCATCGCCCAATCGCTTGATTTCATTCCCGTAAAGTAAAGTGACCAATCGTCTCAAATTAGGAGAGACCCCAAAGTTTATTGTCCCGCTTTACGCGTCCCAAATTAAGGACATGATTATAATCAACCCTGTTTTTTAAAAAATGATAAATAAAAATAATAAGTATGAAATAAAGTTTCAATTAACGTGATTTTTCATTAAAAAAAAAAAAACGCGATTATTCACAAAATTCATTCAGTACAAAAGTACAATTTTGACAAATAATGTAAATTATAAAAATGTTTATCTATTCAATATGTTGAATTTTGTTATATGTCCCTCTTTTCCTGTCTAAGGTGTCGCGATCACCTTACCGTAAAAGCGCTCATACATACGAATACATGATTTCTATGATGTCCGCAGGTTTTCTCGTACGCGAAGGTCTACCTCGGCACAGGTGGCAATCAGTTCATCGGCGAACCTGTCCATTTCTCTTATATACCCGATCAAGTGCTCGAACAGGCGCGCGAGGTCACCATAAAGCTGCATTCGCGCGCCGGCCGCTTCCTAAAATTGCAGCTCTACTTCGCCGCGCGGTGGATCATGCTCAGCGAGGTAATCTTCGAATCAGGTAAGAGAAAGATCGATTCACCGTCTCCTCCTTCCTGCCATCCCGCGCGCAGTCGAAATTTATCTCCTGGGTGTTACTCTTTCGGTAACACTCGCGCGCGTTTCCCGCGTCGCGTCGGAACGACCGAGAGTAATGGCGAAGCTAAAACATTGTCTGGCGTACCGCCTTTTACCTCGCGGCTCCCTCGCGTTTATAGACGCACTTTTAGTTAAACGGAAAATCAAAGTAGGCGGTCCAGAAAATTGAAATCGAGAAATAGAATAGTTTCGAAGCGCGTCTTATCACAAGCGCGCGATCCAACACGATTTCCAATTTTAAGTGACATACTTTCGTCGAAGATATGAGCACGGTGATACTGCAGACGGTAGAAAGAAAATAGTCCCGAAGCTCCTGCGAGCGAAGCTCGGAGAGAAAATTTATTTCAACGGTAGAGTGTAGTTTCAAGAAAAGTGCGTGCAATTATTAAATTGATATACTAAAGATAAACTTATTTTGCAGGCTATTTTAAAATTCATTGCCGGAGTTTCACTAATTTACAAGCGTAAAGTGGATATAAAAAAGTGTTTAATATCGATTAAACAAAAGTATAACGGGAAGAAATATTTCAGGGGTGTTATGGAAATGTATTGAAATAAACTTTATTACTTTTCAATATATGAACTCAGTTTTACTGCTTATAAATTCAACATCCTTTCTACTTTTTTCTATTTTACTTTTATTTTCTGTATAGCCTTAACAATAAATATAACATGATCACTAAAGGGAGGAAAATATCTGTCGCAGTTATACGTATTTCCTATTGGAATTGCTCGGACAAGAGTATCGTATTCCAAAGAAAAGACCGTGTAAAACATTTTAAGTTTCTGAAATCGTTTAGTCCTACGTTGTTGTTTGCTCGACTTTAAAGCACCGCGGGAAGCAAAAAGCAGAAGTATCCACGGCACGTTGTGCGAATGAGAGCACGTGGTCGCAAACCGGAAACGAAACTTACTTGCCACACACCTACATGCACACATTCATACACACACACACACATTGGAATATATACTCTCAAAAAGTTTTGTCTCGAAAAGCCGGAATGTTGCACGAACCAGACGAGCGAAGCCGTCGTTAATCATTCTCTCAGTGCGCTGTTCTTTCCTTTCACGAGAAAGATAACTTCGGCAGCGTAACGCTGAAGCGAGTGATTTTCTTTGTCACCATATCAAGTGACACATAAAACTTGCACGTATTTCATTTTTAAATTATTCGTACGAAATTATATGTGTTTTTCTTAAGAGGCATCCAACGTATAATTTTTTAATTTCCTATAAATGTTGTATCAATATATTATCAAGCAGCAATATATAATATTAATAATTTTCAAACCTCTTTGCAAACTCACAAGCAAAAACGATGTGTTGATTGTTAATTGTTCTTAATATGTAATATTTTTCCATCTCTTGCTATTTTAGCAACAATTGTTTTGTTTTCTCGGAAAGTAGAAAATAATTGATAGAAAATATAACTTGAATTTTTATATATAGATCGAGAATAATTCGTCGACGGAATATTGCAGAATGAAAAATACGTTACCACAACAGAGACGATCAGGAAATATTCTGAATTAGAATTGTATAAGAAACTTTATTAAACATTTATGAGTTTGTAAAGCTATTATACACTGCAGCTTACTTAAGAGAGAGCTTTAGGTTGTCTTTAAATACAAACAGAAACAGTTAGGATAAAAACTGTAATCTCTTCTGTTCGCTGTAACTTTCAGGAACGAAAAAGTTCATAAATTTTTTTCAGAAATTAAAAGCGCATTTCTCATCGCAGGGTGATATAACTTACAATTAGACAATGTATTTCGTAGAAACCGGTATTTCCGTATAATCTCCCAAGTTCGGTCAAGAAGGTCGATTCCGCGGTTCCGCAGCGGCAGAACGCAACTTGCCCAATGGCTACCTTAATCCAACATCGTCCGAAACCGCATATCGATCACCAATATTTCTTTTAATCCATCTCAAACGATCCGAGAGACGGAACTTAGCTGCCGGTCTCTGGTAATGCAAGCTTTCGAAAGTTCCGTGTCGCTTCGTTGCACCAGAGCCAACCGCGGGAGTGGGTACGTCGTTAATCATTCGACGTACTCCGGTGCTCCCCGTCCTCGACTACGAGCGATAAGTTGGACCGACCGGCCCAGAGGCGACCAATGTTCCTCGTCACCTGTATACCACATAACTCGTATTCACGTCGCACAAACGCTTCGTTGAGCCGCGTCATCGATAGGAAAATATATCACTCCCCTTACCCGTACCTCCCTTTAGCGGCGCCGCGACGGGGCATCGAGTTTTCCACCGAGCGAACCGCGCCGCGCTGCGCAAAAACTCTGGAAGCAACCTCGCGTCCCACTTCGATTAATTTTTCTTTTTATAAATCGCGCGCGTACGAGCCATGTCTAACAGCTCGAAAATTGGAATATTTTCTGGTGTCCATTAGTCGATAAACTGCCGCGGCACTAATTTTCAGTTTGCCTAACGGGAAATTCCCAGCTGCGTGTGACACGAATTAAATTCTGGTCACGATATTTGTTCGTTTTCAAACGATCGATGTCATAGAAAACGATCCCGCATACAAATGAAATTTTACATCGACACCGTGGCCACAAAGGACATTTGTACGATTCGATGAGAAATTGTCAAAAGGAGAAGCACATAACATTTAACTTGTTTTCAAATATTGCATGTTTCTCTCTGATTTTATGAAAGTTAGATTCGCGCTCTTCTAACAATTATTAAATTATATTAAATTAATCGTGTATATTATCGATAATTTTATAGCACAGAATTTACCGAGTTATTGATTAGTTCAGTTAGTTTCTCACTAACGCTTTTCTCACTAATATATATATATGTATATCGATGTTTTTTACGCCTGAATATTTAATATAAGCTTGACGAGCGCGCACGCGGATTTCATTACCTCTAATCCTGAATGCACAGTTATCTCCGAATGGAACAATACCGAGGACGAGGAGGCGAAGAACAAGAGCGCTATTGTACTGGCGACCGGCAGCCCCTATCAAAATAACGAGGGTCCACTGCAGAGAGACGAAGTGAAGGCTACTTTTAATAAGGAGGAAAGCAAAGATAACACCTGTAAGTCTACCGTCCGATTTTTCCATTGTTATACTGGTAAGCTGCGTTCATAATTTTCCGCGTAATTGACGCTCTTTTCACCGAGCTCTTTTTCCCTTGTCATGTTTTATAACAATGAACTCGATATATCACGAAAGAATTGTGTCAAAAGAAAGGATCATTACGATTATTACTAGCGATATATTAACGTGATAAAATGTTAATTGAAATATTTTATGTAATCATCGCGTTAATCGTGAAATTCTCTAGATTTCATGAACGAATACAAAATTAACAAAGTTTCCTAACAATATTATTAGAAATTTAATTTAAAAATCCGAAATTGAGTTTGATTAATAAAAATAAACGTAAATGTATTATAAATGTTTTTAAAATGTAAAAATTTATTAAATAAAAATATTATAAAAAATGTAAAATACATCACACACGTAAATAATTTATGTTTAATCTTAGATTCGGAACTAATTGTGATTATAGTCAAAAAGCCAATAACTTGCGCATCTTCAGCAAAATCTTCTTTCTGATACGCGATGTCCTTACACCGCAATTAACGGAAAAACGGCGACGATGGGGCTAGAAAATCCTGTCAGATCGAAAGAACTGTGCGAAAAAGTACATCGAGTAGTCCCAGGGACGTCCTCGATTACCTGCAAAAGAAACGTCACGGAAGAAAAAGAGCGGTCGCTTTTGTTCCTTGGCTACGTTGAGTTTGTTAACCAATAGAACGATGCTTTTTTTACTTTCACAAAAGCCGCGCAATTAACCTGATTAATTCTTTAACTTTCTCTTTGACTGAGATGTCGAGACGCGCGGTATCGTTAAAAAGATCAAGATTCATTAACGAAACTCTTAATGCTAATTGATTTCAATATTCTTAAAAATTAGTTCAGCGAACTAATTTGCGTTTTCTTCTTATTGACATTACTCGCACTGCATAGCGGGAAATTTTTCGATCACACAGCGACGATGTTGAAATTGCTGAAATTTCTTCGTATAACTATTGCTGTGTTCAAGCTCGCGTGCTCGTTTAATGTAGGTTCGTATTTGTATACATTGCTGGCGCGAAATGCTCTTTGCGTGTCCGCTTGTTAAATTCGCCCTAGGTAAAGCGCAAGAAAACAGGACGAGGTATTTATGTTTTCTCGCTTGAAGCGCGACGTATACCTAATACTCATTACATATTACACCGCGCAGAAAGGTACAAATGTGCGCCAACGCGGGTAATAATCTGCGAAGTAATGGAACAGACGTTCAACGATATACTAGGAAGAATAACATTATACTTTCTTGTCGGCCGGTGTTCTATAACATTATGCCAAAATTGGTTTGCGAAAGAAACGAGACTAAAATGTTGAAAACTCAAAAAGAGCGTGAAACGAGATGAAAATTTTTTGTCACAGATACATCTCTATCCGGAAAATTAAACTCTCTTCTCTCTGATATTTTTATTTAGAGAAAAAACGAACGGAAGTATTTATCAGAGTTTGTCAGATAAAGTTTATAGCTTATAATTAGTTTTGATATTTGTATTACGTGAATAACTCGGTCTCTCTTTCTCTCTTGTAAAGAAATATTAAGATGAATGTATTTCTTTTCTTGCTATCGGATAATTATTTTTTGATCGATTGACTTCGTTTATTGATCGATTGACTTCGATATCCTCCATTCCAAAGAAAAATTAAATATATTATTTAATATTTTCATTTTGATATACTATACTTGATATAATATTAAAACTATGAATATAAATGTTTCCTGATCGTGGAATTAAAAAAGTCTTAATGTAACTATTTTATAGATTGTTCGCTTATGCGTTTATTGATTCATAAAATACTCAAGCGACGATCAGACTGTTGCGGTGGACTACGAAAGCCATCAGCGGATATTGTTTTTGTTCAGCCAGGCACTGATCAACCGTGATCTAGTTACGAGCTTCGTGATGAACGCAATCATCATTATCGTTCCATCGTACATTATGTGAGGTTACCTCGGCGGTATTATCTACGGTGATAGGTCGTGTTGCTTGATGCAAGCGTCATGGACGAGTGAATCCGCTATCACGTACGCACGCGGTTCAGCTGTCTGTAGCGGCGTCGAAATATTATTAATGGAAAATTCTTTTGTTATCAGCGTGGTTATCATATTGCTATCGATATTCCACTTGCTTGATTCAAAATGGCAGTCGCGATTATTTAAAAGTTTATCAATTGTAATAAGATGAATAAAACTAATTATTTTCGATTAAAGACTTTATTCGTTGGATAAAATATGTTACATGAGAAAAGAATTATATTCAACTTACTATATCTCGGAAAAAAATCATATCAATCAAAATGCATTTTAAAATTAAAAGTTGATACTTTCGTATGGTCATTAATGAAATTTAAAAAAAATTGCTGTAATGAAAACCGGCCATCAAAATAGTCGTTTTTCAACTCTTTGATATAATTTTTCCCAAAAACTAACGTAATAGCCAATTTTTACCAACAGATTCGTATTCAGTGAATAAAAATACGTCGATAATAACTATTCACACCAGTGACAAGAAAAAGATCTGTCAGATAATGTAATTAGATTAAAAAAAAAAACATTCTAATTAATAATTGTTTAAACCTAAAGAGCTATAGTTTCAAATCCTTAGGAATTACGATCGATGTCACGATTAATTGATGTAAATTATCTCTAGAGCCCAGTCCCTAAGCCAGTGACAACGTGCAAGATCACTGAGCTTGCGGTGTAACCGTTAATCGTTGAGCTAATCGAATCCCTCCGTATCCCCGAACATGACGGGTGCATCTGTTTACTACGTATACACACACTTGTTTATATATATATACGTGTATATATGTAAACACTTTATATACATATGCATCCTTCTCAGTTCCAGATAAGAGCAAGGAGCCGGAATCGAAGCAGTTTGTCGGTTTAGTTATCGGCATCCTGACGACCGTAATTGTGATGCTGCTCGCGGCGATCATGTTCATCTTCTATAGGAACCGTAGGCTCAAAGCTGCTCTCGCACCGTCAAACTTCTACGATCAACAGGGTGATCTCAAGGTTGTAAAGATATCTATCACACAATTAAGCATCGCCGTAATATTAAGTCATTACAAATTGTCTATGTATTCAAACGTATAGTATAAATCACTAAATATTTCGGAAAAATTAATTTGTTTTATCAAATAAATTTATTGTGTTAGAGAAATGACTTCGTAATATGGCATTTCTTTTCATGTGACGCTTTCAGATGATGCAATCTATTACTGTTTTATCAATATTTTATAATATTATATGATATAATAAGGAAAACTATTTTTTTGTAAGAAAAGTATTATGCATATATTATAATTCCGGTATATATATGATTTACAGAAAATATATTACTGTCCAATTCAATATAATATGCAAAGTATCTTTCTTCTTTTTAATCATTAGGTGTCATCATGAAATATACGAAGATGAAAAAATTGAGTCAAAAATTCAGCATTCTATTAGTTGGTTCTGTGTGCAGTGATGCGAATTATCGCGATGTTAATAATTTGATAAATGACGATAATTTTGTTCTCCAATCGCAATTTTTCTTTGCCTAACTCCCGACCTAGTTTAATACCAGAGTCTTTGGCTCTAATAAACCGTACGTGCACATCTATTTACTCTGCGCTTCCAGGTCACTTTACGGCGCTTTTGAGCAATCGCGCAAAACAGCTTATACCTACCTATTACTTACGTCGGTTTAGGTACGAGCGCGCGCTCGTAACTAGAGGAGGAAACACGGCGTTCAAATATTTTCTTTAAGGAGGAGACGCAAACGAGATCGTGCTACGACGATTAAAAGAACGCTCCGAGATTGTTCGTTATGCGCCCTTATCCGTGAATCCCTGTACGATCATCCGGCACTTGTGACACAAATCGTGGAAATTGTATGCGTTAATTACTTGGCGTAATTATAACGATAATTGCATTTATGAAAAGAAATCTCATAGAGATAATTAGTAAGCGGCTTTAGATATATTACAGTGATAAATAATATGCACGACAGACACCGTATAATTTTTCCCCATTACAATACAATGCTTAGAACGAATACGAAAAATAACGAGAAATATCTTGTAATGCACGTACAGACGACGCTATTTTTCTCTGACGTCGCATTCCATCGTAGCGCGAGGGAAGCCGCTAGAAACGTTTTCTGGCGAAAGAGATGTCTCGCACCTCGTTCTAACGCGGAATGTCTAACTTTGTCGTAAATTCCGCTCCGACTCCTGTCCTACGGAACAACAAGAATTATTAACGTCGCGCGTTTACCGTCCTCGCCGGTGGACAGTTTACACGACTTTCACGATGTATGGTCTATAACGTTAAACCCAGCTCTTTATTATGCACAATGGTGAAATGGCACAATAGTCCTTGAAATCGGATTCATGTTATACAGTGGAAAATTAATTAATCAATTAATTATCAAATCTTACACCTGCTCGCGAAATAATATTACGATACGTTTGCAAGGAAAAGTGATTGTGATTGTGAAGAGAGAAAAAAGATTGAGAGAAAGAAAATGGAGACACGCGTAGCTTTCATTACTTGATTAGCCTGCTTTATCTAAGAAATCAGACCAACGATTTGTGATGGTTAGCGCAGAGTAACAAGGTAAGAAGTGAATTCTGCAGTAAGTAATCTCTATATAGATAAAAGTGCCGCGAGAGGCGAGAAAGTAAGGACGAGGAATAAAATGTTAGAAGAGAATTGAGCATGTTACGCAAAAAGTTAATACTTGGACTGAGTAGAACGAAGAAAGTGAGGCTGACGGAGAAAAGAAAGAACTCTGAGAACTTCGCGTATGTTTACCAAGCCACTGTTGTTCTAACCGGATTAATAGCAAAGTGAAGTTCGTTCGTAGAAATGGACAGCTCCGGCGCTTTCTCATCCTTTTTCGCGGGATATAGCGGAAGACAGTAATTAACGACTTGCTGAACGATGAGAAATAATGAGTGCCAGACAGTTGAGCTTGCAAACCCTTGAAGCTTTCCTAACTTAACTGTTTGCACGGATGGAGGCAACTGGAGAAACGTACGGAGCGACAGTCGACAATTAATAACGACGCTAACAACCTATCGAAATAAATTGAAGACTCGCGATGGCGACATTAGCTATCAGGGTGACTAATTAGTCACTCGAAATATTTCATTCGGCTCATTATTAACAATGATAAATGATCAAGCGAAAGAAAGTTCTAGAAATCAAGAAGCTATACCAAACTGTCCTCTTTTACTAAAGAGAGAGAGAGAGAGAGAGAGAGAGTTCACAATTTAAAAATAATATAATTTAAATAATAATTTATATCACATTTCATATATGTTGAAATAAACGTAATATTCGTATATTCAGCAAATATGTGCGGTGCCGAATTAATTAATTGCTTTCGATCAGTTTTGTTTGTAAATACATGGGTCAAAAAGAGCATATTTGTGTAATATTTTTCATTTACCTGACGAAGCTCGAACAGACTCGCACGTATAATCTCCTTCCCGCTTTTACCATACATCATTTAAGGTATTCTTCGACAACCCAATATCTTTCACGGTTAAGTTTTTACCAGCCGCCGAAGAAGTGCAGCGCGGGTAGTCGAGCTGACTCCACTTAATTAAAAGAGCTGCCGGGATGGCCGTATTGCGACCAGCGTCGTCGAGAAGACGTGCGTTATCTTCGTCGTTCACCCGCTGCTAAGCGGCATCATATACACTCCAAACGCCTTCTTCTCTTCGCCCATCTTCACTGACTCTCTCCTTTCCCTTCTACTCCACGTTTCCAACATTAGCCACCTGCTACTTGTCCCGTCTAGAAGTTGCGCGAGCCACCCCCCCGGTTCCCCCTTCTCCACGAAATGACCCTATTGCCCTTCGTGCAACCTGCGATCCACATTGGGATCTCTAGAGAACGGCAGATTATGTCTACCAGGTGGAAACCGCTGTCAATTTATCGAGCAATACAAGTCGGGAAGAACAACGTTTCCGCTTGTCGCTCGCTGTACACCTGATTCAATTCAACGAAATGTTGAGCCGATATAGCTACTCAATCGTGTCGAGAACATCGACGTTTTTCTCTGAATTTTTATCGACTAAATAAATAGTAATTTATTGCATAATTATTCATGAAGTCTCTTATTGGCTAAATATCGTTTTAATCGATTAATCTCTTCATGGCTGTGTAGGTTTATTTACTTATTAATCACAGCGCTCATATTGTCCTCGATCGCGAGTGATTTTGTGCTTAATGCTTGAAAACAGCATTCCTTACCTTGTACGATGCGTCTTTATTTTTCAGCATCGAATTTTGATGCGTTCGAACATCCATTCCACCGTAGAACTTATCCTATAAATAGTCAGGAAGACAATTTACAGAACACAAGACCCCTCCAATTTATCGAGCAACATATGAACTATGAAAACTAAACTTTGTTTCGTGGATGACATTATATCGATCTGTCTGATTCTATTTAGAACGAATATGATGGAAGACTCCCTCTTTTTTGACACGTTAGCTGCATCGGTCTGCTTTAAAGCGTTGAAGGGAAACTCCGTGGGATAGTATATCGCTTAAAGCCCCGCGAAGTGTTGTGCTTTTTTTTTTCCCCTCCTCTTATCCGGGAATTTACGATGCAGCAAATTCTTGTTTCAGATTTCATTGCGCGAGATTATTTAATTTACGTAAACGTCCATTCACGCGTTACAGATCAAGCTATTCTTTACCAATTAGCAAATCAAATTACATTCAATTATCCACACATCAATGCATTGCAATAAATAACCCGTTTACGACACTGCCTTAAGGGCACGTGCGTGAATCGTATGCGTTACGCGGAAAACGTATCGGGCAAACAATAACAGATACGCCCATGATTTTATTCAAACCATAAAATATATTATTATTGAATGTGGCACACAGCTCTGTGATGCAATTCTGTAAATGCGCATTTTGTATATATTTGCGTTCGTGTGAAAAGAGCATGACGAGTAGGACCAAAGCAAGGACTCCGTACAAAAGTAAGTGGTAATGTGATTACCAGGTTTAGCTCGAGCGAGGGAGAAGAGAAATGAAGAGGAGGATACGAGAGACAGTCGACTGAAAATAGATTATTTTAATTTAAAACAACAAACTCTCTGATTTTCGTGCGCTGTAATCCTAACCGCGAATTGAATATGTACATACGCGCGCACGCAAAAGCTATGCGACAGTTCTATTTCCCAGTTTGAAAAATTATCTGTTAAATTGTTGGAAAAGACTAATGACATTTCAACAGAATTCAAAAAAAGAACAAGAAACGGCAATTTTGTGTAGACATTTCAGAAATGTTAGAATTTATTTGCAAATTTAAAAAGTATAATCATTGCAAAAGTTAAAAATGCTAAAACTCTTTGGATATAATAATTATAATAATTTTCAAAGAACACGTGGAACGTTTCATAACAATGGAATATGCCAAAGTAGGAAGAAGACGGGAATGCGTTAATTAAAAGCAGGTCAGCGCCATGAAAAATTAATAAAAAAGCATGAAACAAGTGAAATGCGCGGGAGACACTTTTGGACAGAGTTGGGAAATGTGTAAACTTGCTGGGGGACAGGTCGCGCAAGCCTTTGCGGAAAAGAGGCGAAGATGTACTCATGGTAATGAAAATGGCAAAAAGCACTCCGGCGCTAATTAATGGAGGATCGTTTTGTGCCCGGAATCTTTTCGCTAGCACTTCACGGATTTTGTCGGGTTAATCCGTTTCACGATTTCGATACTCGTTTCCGTCCCTACGCCTAGCACGCTCCTTTCACGTCACTGTTTGTATTTCCGGCGACTGCATTAACAAGTTTAACATTTTTCTCAGATTAGTACTGCGCGCGCAAACGAATGTAAAAAAAAAAAATAGCGCAAATACCGAGCACCGTTGCGTATAAATATAAATACATAAAGCGCATTGCGCGCGTCAGAAAATTCCAGTTTCCAGAATTTTGTTATACGTGTCCTTTTTTTTTGTACAATAAAATTTCACGTTTTAAACATGTGCGTATTGCTCGAATCATGTATACGATGAAATGAATAAGGCATTGTTTTCCTTCTTCTCACAGAAAGAACAATAATGCTGAAAAGTCTAAAAATTCAGCAAAATACAGATTTTAAAATAATTTTGCTGGAGACCATTAAAATAATTAAATAGGACAGCAAAATTGGTTGCTAGAATATCAAAATATTTTGCCACATTGCTCATCATGTTGAAGATACCTACAAAATTTTTTAATGATTCAACAAAATTATTTTCGGATTTGTATCTGGCTAAATTTTTAGATTCTTCAGTAAAATTGCTCTTTCTGTGCTGAAATCAGATTTTACATTGTGTGTCATGAGTGTGAAAAGGGGAAATTGACAGGAATTGGTACATGTAAATTATCCACGATAATAATCCATTCAATTCAAATGCACCTTTAATTCAACCGCCTGGTTAAGAGATTATTCGATGCTATCGTTTGCCGATCTCGTAATCGCGGTTAAACTCGATATGCGATTAGTATGCGGACAAACACGTAATATCTCTAAACAAATACGCCACTTCGATAAATCCCACGAAACGTGTGCACGTAAGCTCTCTCGCTGTATCTATAGCGATTGATAATTTATTTCGCCAGGCGTATTCCGCTCTCTGAATACCAAACTTATAAAGAAAAGATATCAAGCTTGACGTTAGACGATGCCCGACGATTGATACATTGATAAAACCGTTTTACAGCCAATAGAACGTGTCTGGATTTACGAAAGAAATCACGGAAACCTACATTTGTGAGATCCTTTTGTACATCAGATTGATATACCATACGTGAAAAGAAAAGGCGCTGTATTATTTCGCGTTTCGCGATCTTCACGATCATGTCGACAATGCGTGAAGAGATTCTGTGAAATCACAAAGTCAGTAAAAATCTGTCTTCCCGAAGAGCTTAACCTTCTCTTCGTAATCTCTTCGTAATGGCGTCATTAATATATCATTCCATGATCGTAAAAGATTTTCATAGCGCTATTAAATATGCGTAGCTTATACGTTTAAAAATATTACAGCCGCGAACTTTGTAAAATTTATCTTCTCGAGTTCGTTTATACTAGACAATATGAAAAATAAACAATGAGTAAATTGTCCGATACTAAGCTATTTTATTTTTGGAATGTTATTTTCTATCGTTAAAAATAAGCGAGTTATTTCAGGCTGTTCTACATATCGCCGACTTGTTAACGATGGCTTTCATAAACTTTGTGTATTAATAAATTCTTAATAGTTGCCTATTTTCTCCATTACCGGGCATGTGTGACGTGTGTACAAACAATATCTCACGCTAGACCGACGATTCAAAAATAAACTTTCCATCCCGTTAATATCAGGAGTCGTGCAACAGTTTTCAATCATGTATTCAGAATGCAGGTTTGCATAATTAAATAAACATCGATCCAAATCAAGCTGCCCCATTAGCAGCGATTTTATGTTTAGACTTTCTCCTTTTATGCATCGAGAATCACGTCGCTGTATACAATTCGCAGACAATTTGCTCGACGATAAGCAAGACCGTTCTGTAAACTGGATCACTATCTCTCGGGCAACAATAATACTTCAAAACTGCCATCGTAGTGTCGCGACCATTTCGGCGTCTAACCAACGGAAACGAGCTGCCGACATCGCTTTGAATGCCCGATCGTAAGAGTATGAGAGAAGTAGGGACAGGACTTCAGATAGTCCTAATGGAGAAAGAGATGTTAGACGGTTAAGGTCGATGACGGGAAGCGAGCCCTCGTGCTTCTAGAAACGCAAGCGATTGAGAAAGATATAGAAGCTACATGGATAGTATAACACCAATGCGTGCGTGTGTGTGTGTGTGTGTGTATACATATGTGTATACGCTGGCGAGACAGTGCAAAAGAGGGCGAGAGTAGTGAGATTCGCGTAGAATCCCGATGGTTAAGTGGTTATCTTATCTTAACGGCCGCGCCGCAGCATCTCACCAGTCTGGCACCCTCCAACGCTCTCTAAACGGAAATTAATACCCACCCTTACACGTTCTCGCAAGTCAGCCTCGGCCTGGAGCAACGCAAAAATCAATGGATATTATATATCGCGAGCCACACAGACATATACATACGGTGCTCGTCACGTTCCTGCGATCCTTCGCGAGTTGTCTTATCGTGCAAAGAAAAGTGACGAGGAGCCGCGACGTAAACATCCCCGCCGCCGCGCCGCACCGCGCCGCGCCGCGCGCCTTGGGGACCCTAGATTGTTTGTTGTAATAAAACTGCTAATTTCCTGAGGTGTGGCATGTCGGGCTCGATCGTCTAGACCCTCGTGTACTTTCGCACGGTTTGCGAACCAAGATAAAGGCGTCGGGAGGAAGTGACGCGAGATAAGAGCTTTACGGGTGGGCACCCGCGCGGTTTTACCGTCGCATTTTAGATGAAAGCGCACTGCCATGACGAATCCCGTTAATGGAGAAACGCAAATGCAACTTACGCCAGGTGTCGAGAATACGTTGCCGCGTTAACACTATGTCGTGGTTTTTGTTAGATATCTTGAGATGCGCCGAGTTTCCATTGCCCTCTTTTTTTTCAACCATTCTCTCTCGCGTGGCTATAAAAAGTTCCTTATGCGAAATGCCTAATAAATCAGCTATAATAGAAAGAGATTTTGTTCTTATCTGCAAGCTCTAGCCTACTTTACATTATACTAGTTATTTCTGAGATAAAATTAACGTATTACAGATGAAAGCGATATTATTCACGGAAAAAATGCATTAACGGTTTTTAAAATTAAAAGTTGAACGATAAGGCAAATCCGTATATCTGTATAATATTTAAATTTAAATTATCTGGAAACGCGCGAACAACGTTGGGGTGAGAGACAAGTTTATGGAACTTGGCGAATAGCGCAAGGGAGTCATTCCGACATTATTCTTTCTATCGGTAACGAAAATAAGCTCGCGCTACTTTCCATGGTTTATCTACGGTAGCGTGTGCCGTAAAATAAAATGACGCAATCGGCAATACATAATAAGACAGTAGGCCAACGGGTATTCAGCACACAATAACCAGGCGCGCGCGCGCGCGCGCCAACCCCTTCGGGGTCCGCGTAGCGTCTCGTCGTTTCGTCGGCTATGAATATTCTGAGGAGGGTAAGAGCAGGGGGTCGCGAGGGAGAACTCGAAAATAGGAGTGGATAAACCGACAGTGTATCGCTTTTACCGCGTGATATACACGGTCGGCGTGTGCATAAATGTCAGGTGCATTAATGATAACGCTCGATATTTGGCCACAGGTCTCCGTGCCGGAGGAGGGCGAGGACAAGGGACCAATTTGCCCCCCGCTTCCGGCGCAGTACCATCCAGCCACCTACAGCACGACGACGCCGCAATTACACAAAACCGTCACGGATTACCCTGGTTGGTACCGACGTTAAAAGTTTATACGCTTAAATACTTCCTTTCGCGTCTGCGTTCCGAATTTAGTTCACTTTTACCTGGGATTACAATCGTTGAAATATTGTTTAAGTACTGCATACACACGAGTATATCCAAAGATTTCTTCTAATTCCACTTGTTAATTATTTCCTTAGAACGCGATGATCGTTGAAACTGTATCGAGCCGATGTTCTTTTGAATATTAAATGCTTAAAATCTGTTAATTTCTTTAGTATTTTTACATATTTATTTTTAATTTTTGTACAAATTCTTTCTATTTATTCCTCATCGTTTTTCTGATGTATTTTCGTTTGATAATTTAACGTTATAAATTTTGTCTTTTGCGAGAAGAAATTAATTTATCATTTTCAAACGATGACATTGAAAGTCGATCAACATCCTAGTTCGGTTAATTTCATCACCAAAGACATTTCCACTTCTGTATTTGCTGACTTCGACCCCGTCTCGACATGGATAGTTTCGTGTTATCGCGGGAATTCTAACGGGTTGTCCCGAGTGACGGTCAAGCCGAGGTTTCGAATCTCTGCGCCTGGTTTTGCCACGGCCGCACAACGTAGTTGGAATAGTCGGCAAACTATTCCGTTGCGTCTCGTAGTTGGCACAGCTTGCTGGACACAGCAAGAGAGAGAGAGAGGAACACAGTCCGCAGAGAGACTGTTTGTCGCGTCGCGCGACCTTGTTTAATCGAATTAGACTGAGGTCTTTGATTAATTAACTATTGGAAACAGCATGTTATGACTCATCGACAGGTCGCACTAATTTTGCGAGTCCACAAATGCCATCATTACCGTGCAGGCGAAGTTACGCGAGACGAACGATATACAGTAGCAATATCGTAATAAATTGAAATAGATATCTGTCGTTGCGCTTCCGAGTTTCCGGGAAACTTCATTCGCTCTACTCCGATAACGTTACAGTTTCGCGGCGCGCTGTACGGAGTCTCGTTAAAAAATGGTAACAATCTCCCGAAACTTGGAAACTCGACGCGAGAGAAACGGGAAGGCGTTACACAGACGGCAATTCTTTTCGTCGACGGCTAGCCGTGATTATATTTTTAACTTTGTCGAATTTCTTGATTCTTTTCCGCTTCGCTCCTCGTCGCCCGAACAGGAATCAACGAGGTGCAGCCGGTTATTCCGCTCCTGCTTAACTCAACGATCAATCTTGCCAGGCCAATTCCGGCGGTCCAAGAATATCCGTCTAACCCACCACCCATACCGCCCCCGCCGGAAAAGTATTACGCCAGCACGGAGATCTGTAAGGTGAGTCGCAAAAATGTACGGTAGACATGCGATCCGCACCGATTAAGCCCTTCTCTAGCATTAACGCGGGTACTTGGAGCGCGAAACTGTGTCAAATGCCGTCTCGTGACCGTTGGATCTCCGTCACGATCGCCGAAAGAGAGGCAACCTTGTAAAACCGGCCACTAGGGCTTTTATGTAAATCGCGAGATTAATTCGAGTATTATACCGTTTGATTTTTCAATTTTCGCTTTCTACGCTCTAAGATAGTTTAAATATATATATAACGTGAAGTTGTGAATATTGCTCACGTAAATATCAAATTTTTTTTTCATAGAGATTAAAACACTGTATAAAGTAATTATATTATTAAATCATACTTTTATTGAAGTTATTGATTATCGCAGTATATTAGATTATTTTCATTAACTGTGATAATTACATGCTGCGCAAAATATATTTTAATCGTGTATATTATTGTATTGCATATATCTCGACACCGACTTAATTTCGTTTTCAACCGGGATTGTTTTCTCTATACAATATGCACGACGCAAAATACTTCATCCTGTGAATTATGAGGATTAATGACCGAAAAACGAAACAACAGGGCACTATCAATCATAACTACCGCGAAGAAAACATCTTTCGTGGGCATACACAGATTATAGAGCGATAATGTAAAAGGGCGTGGTTATTGATTACAGTAGTTCTATGAAGGGGAGCGTACATGTGTTTCTGTTTGATTATATTATCAGATTTGATTAATTTACGGGGAAGCAAAATTGTATTGAAAAAGATATATCATGATTGTGAATCCTAATATTATCTTTTATTTAAATATTTACCGAAATATTTTCCTTCGTGTAGAAAGAAAGAAATATTTTTCCCATTTTATTCATATTCGCGATATTATGCTTGTTTCGTATTTTTCAAATAATTTCGTTCAGTGAATAAAAGTACAAATATTTACTCACATCTATTTGCTTCGACATATTCGTATTACATATATTAATATTATGATATACATTGATTTATACGTAATTCGAGAAAACATAATTTTGAATTCGTGTCACATCGTAGAGTCCTCTACCACCACTGCCACCCTCGCCAACACCAAGCACCCCACCGCCAATGAGCGCGAAAGCCTCTAGCAGTATAACTAGCTACAGTCCGGAGGATATGCTAACGGAGGAAGAGGAAGAGATACCTGAGTGTGTCCTTGATTTTCCACGGGAAAAACTCAACATCGTTGAAAACCTTGGTTGTGGATACTTTGGCGATGTTCACCTTTGCGAAGTTGACAGGTTTCCTGGATACGACGAGGTTTTCAAAAATACCTCCAGCGATCTAGTTATCGTTAAATCCTTAAAACCAGGATCTTCTGACGCTCTTAGGTAAGAACCTGTAATATAATTTTCCTCGATTTATATAAATTAATAATTTTCCTCGATCTGTTGATGTATAAAAGCAAATTATAGTTATTGAATATTTTACCTCTCTTTTAAGGAAAATAATCTCTTAAATTGAAAAATAGCAGTAGTCGCAAAAAAATGATTTGATTGACCTCTTAAAATATTTAATTTAATATATTATTCAGTTAATAATGAAAAATTTTGACATTTTTTTTATATTCTATCTTTGTATTTTGATGAATATATTTTGATAATGTCTAGTATTTAATATAACGATAGTGTGAAATTTCATATTGATCGAGTTTTTTTGAATTTAATTTAAAGATATTTATATAATTATATATATAATATATAAAAACAAGTTTCGGATATTGAATGTTTTACTTTTTGAGGAGATTAATCATCTCTTCAGTAATCGTAAACAGCAGCAACTGTAAATATAATAATAATAATTAATTGATGTCTCTTAAAGTTTTTAATTTAATATATTATTTATCTTTGTAATGAAAATTCTTATCCTTTTATTTTCTATTTTTATATATCTGGATAAATATTTTAATGATAATGTTTAATATAACGTCTTGTTGAGAATGAGTTTTGATAAGAACATGAAACTTTATTGTCAATATTCCATTAATTAAATATAATTACTATAGGTATTTGGATGCTACGTACGAATCAAAGTACACATTAACTTTGAAGCACATATATATTTTGCACGAAGCTTAAATATCTCGAGAGATAACCGCTCCTACAGCAAATAAAAACCGAAAGCGAAAGCACCACCTATACATATGTCGACGATAGAAAATTATTCCAATAGATTATAGAGCGTTAACGGCGTAATTCAATAACGCGGCGCAAAGTGATTCCGAATGTAATGACACGCTACGCGCATTAAGTAGATGTGGCCGGATAATGCAGAAGGGCTTTAAGCGATCGATGATTGGCATGTAATCGAATAACTCGTCCGTGCTCATACGCGCATGTCTGCGTCAATATAATTTTTCATAAAGCAGCGCGAGAGGGTTCTCTCACCTTTAGAAAATTGGAAACATAAAATCCTATTCGAGGCGTCTTTCTACGAGGCATACGATTTAGCGATTGGCAGTATGAAATATTCGTCAATAATCTTGTTTATCCTGAATGTTATTTATGTTTCGCAATTTTCGAAATCCCGTCCACGTCTAAATCCACCATTACGACCTACTTAGCGAATCAGCGCGTATGCGCTGTTGTACGTGTGCTTCATCGTGGCTTTTTCAATGGAATATTTGAAAATCAGTATCCACTGATTACAGAGCGATGTGTTTAAATTGGATAATATTATATAAAGAAAATAATTATTTCACGCACTCTATAACGAATTTATAAAATACAACGAATAAAAATTGCAAACTGTAGCGAGTAATACCTCATATTATGCGTGATATATAATTGCACACAATGCGCAGTTCCACACGTGATACTAATCCAATTCACATCGAAGCGTATTCGTTTCTATGAAGAAACATTTCCGAAAAATCTAGAATCAACGCTTGAACGAAGATTCTCGTAGCTCAACCATGAGCACTACATCAGCCAATAAAAGACATCCTTTTATTGCATTCACGATGCCGCTATAACAACGTTTTGTTCGTCGGTCGATCGCGATTTTCCCTCGGTATAGGCCGATAGAGATAGGAACGGGCAGCGGAGCGCGTCGTATACCGGATTCACTGGCCCGACGACGCGTTGTCGTCGCAGTAGCAAAAGGATGATCCCCGCAGACAGGATCACGGATGGCATTGTCTACAAAACACATTTTGCCGACTGGGAAAAGCCCGCGAAACCCATGTTGTCGCGCGAAATGGATGCAACTCATGTTAGAGCGCAATCGTTCTCTCACCCCGGCCTTTATTCTTTTCCACGCTCTTCTTTCTTCTGTTGTATGTACAGCGTTCCGCGAAAAAGTCTATCAGACCGATCTGCCTGATAGATTTTCGTTTTTTGATCCTGTTATACATTTCGTCGTCTGATGATTGAATTTTTCGATGCAAAAAGGAATTTCATTTTCCACGTTGACATTTTCAATTAAGTAATTTTATGTTGCGCGTGTACGCATGTTCTATGAAAAAAATTTAACTGATGAATTTTAAAATATTTCTCAAAAATTAATATCATGTATAAAGCGTGGCTGGTCGGTCAAATGCATATCTCATCAACGGAACTCAATATTATAATACATCGCATTTATATTCGAAATACATTCGTGTTTATTTCTCTAAATGAAAGCGTGCTCGTCTATGTAAATGCGTGTAGGAATCGTATAAAAATGCAAATTTTTTTTATGATTTCAGATATCATATGGAATTACTAGAAATTATCTTGTGTCAAAATGTTTATGGAAAGGTCTCTTTTTTTTTCGGGCAAATAAAATTGATTATTCGATTATAAAATAATAAATTGGCTCATTAATCGCTATATAGAATTTTTATTGGCTCGATTTATAATACGAGGAGATAATTTTATATCAAAAATTTAAAAGGATGTATAGGTTTCAATTTTTATACAGTCTATTGAGTTCTTATCGAATTCACAAACCACTCGATATGGCATTTATATCGTGTTCTGCATCGTCTGCTCTCGCTAGAATTTACTCATATGTGTAGCACAATAGTGCTCCACAGCCCTTATTCGCGGTTGTCCTTATTCGTGACTCGCGCTATAACCCTGCAGGTAGGTTCCTCTTTTATCCTTGGCATTTTTGTATCGCTTTTCTGTCGTTCCTTCTTCCGCGTGAGACAACGAAAACTTCCGAGAGACAAGCGAGCGATACCGGAACGGAATATCTACATTACTTCCAGCATATATACAATATATCCACGTCCGTATTCAATACCCATGGCCTTGGTACCGCGGGTACCCATAAAGATATTACTTCCGGATGCTTCATGCGTTTTCCAGGATAGAATTTCAACAGGAGGCAAAGAGACTGGTACGACTCGCCGATCGAAATGTCGCGCGGCTACTCGGTGCCAGCCTTGAGAACGATCCCATGTGCATCGTATTGGAAAACGGCGAATACGGGGATTTGAATCAATATCTGCAGAGTCACATCGCCGAAACTTCAAACTTGCACACGGCCAAGACGCTTAGGTATGATAAACACGATACTTTTCTAATTTCCATCATTTAATTGATATTATTGCTTTATAAAGCATGTGCACAAGATAAAGTGTTGTACGTATACAATATTTTGTGTAAAATTTATATCTAAGGTAATAGAAGTCTATACATATACTATCTATTCAATATATCGTTAATTTAACTAAAATTAAAAAAAAAATGGAGTTAATCAATTTAAGAAAATGTATTAAATTTGTCTTAAATTTAATTTATTATTTACTAAAAGCATAATATGGACGTTGTTTATATTTACATTTTATTATCATATAAATCAAGCGAATAGGTTTGCCATTATTTCTTTTGATATTTATATGATGCAGTGACATGCTCTCAATGCGCCTGAATATATGTTTTCCTCTTTTTCGTAAAAATATATTAAAGAAATTGAAAAATAAAGTAATCCAATATTTCATAAGATAATATTAATATGTTGTATTGGTATATAATATAAGAATGTCACAAAGAGAGAACTATTTTCTAAATAATCGATTCCTTCATTCATTTATTTATTTACTTACCTCCACGATGTTTAACAAGTGAATTATAATTCATGGAATAAAAGCAGCAAGAAAAAACATTATAATCAATGTGTGTTCATTGTGCCTACAAAGAGTTTCTTCTCTTTGATTATAAAGAAAACCTTGTGACCAAAACTAAATACAGTGTTGTAAAGTATGAATATGTACAACAGACCTATTACACAATAATATGTACTATGGAAATTAATAACTATCTCTTGGTAGTTATATAGAAAGCAATTACTTATCTATGAAATATTACATCATGACCTAGATATTCTCCATTTTGCTTTACTGACAATAACAGAATGAACAAACTAAGCAATAAACTGATGCTATTGAGTTAAACAGACAGCCTGCACGACTTAATAGTGCTATCTATTGAATTCACGTGTAATTACTCACAAACAGTGAATAGGTCATATCATGAAAATTAGACCATATAGAGTCCGATTATATGTACTTATATGTATTTATATATATATATATATATATATATATATGCACATAAATGTAGGTATGTGTGTGTTTATTTACTGTCAATGTATCGATGTCATTACATCATACTTTAGATGTTAATGCGTGCTTTATCATCGAAGAGAATATACCCCATAATAAGTCCTTGGTCGTTCATAAATACATGCCGTTACGTTTTTAAGAGATCGTTGGGGAATTCGGTTCGCACATGGTCAGAGGTATATGACAAAAAATCCATGTGTATCCCGGATACGATCGTTATTCGAGTAATTAACATAATTTAATGAACACAAATTTGATACTACGGCGTGGAATAATTTGTAACATCGATTCCATCGTATCATTTTAAAAGCGATACATTATCGATGTCCGCTTTAATGCACACTGCCAATCGACATTGCGACACTCGAAGTAAATAACATATCATCCGAAATAGATACGCAATTATGTGATCATCACCATTTTGACATAAAATCAATGAACCATATTTCGACATGCCCTAAATTTCACGTTGATACGATCACCGTACTTCCGCGTAAATTGTTGTGCCTATTACAGCATCACCTTCACGTTATCGACAGATAATAAATCCATTTATTAAAACAAATATAATAAAATGTACTTAATTAATTAACAAAACGAATTGAAATGCCGTTATGTTCATTAATTGACTAAACCAATTAAAATAATGAAAATATCAAGATTGTAGCGTGTCATGTTGTATAATTATAAAGTCGTTTATCGAAATTTTTGACACAAAATGCTGCTACGATATCGTGAAAACGTCAAACATACGATGAATAATTCCCGTGTGCGTACGTGATGTGGAATGATTACTTTTTGCGTTGCTGTAAATGCAGAATGATAGCATCCGAACAATTCCACAATAGGCCTGCCGGTCGAATGCGATAGTGCGAATTTTTGTTTTATTCTGTCGCCGCGAAGAACGTCAGTTCCAATCAGTCCGGAGGACGCGTGAAAACGCACGATGACCAGGACTACGCGGGAAGTACTCGAAATACGAGAAATCGGCTGAAAATGAGAGGTGAGCGACGGAGAGGATCATCGGTGCTCGTGACAGGTGTCGGCGAAGCGTGTTTTCCCGCGCGATCGTTTTCAGCTTTCGCGCGAGATGAAGCAGCCGCCGGAGATCGCGCTTTGTTCCCATCGAGTGCCGCGGAAAATATTGATGTACGGGGATATTCAATCATTCGTGCCTGCGCAATACGAATAGCACTATACTATTTTGCAATTGCAATAGTAAAAAAATAGTTATTGCCGTTATGTTTTCTCATCTTATTGTTTGCAGATTAATTTGCTTCTTTCACAATTCGTTAACACTACACCTATAATTAAGAAATTATGAAACAGAGTTGACGTTTATTACAATAATGATGTTATAGATATTTTCTAACATTAATTTGCTCGCGCGAATCACGCGATGTGCAATTTTATTATGCCGTCAAGTTTCAACAACTTAACAGCTCTTAATAGCTATAGCTACGACAGTATCGAAATGGTTAATTAAATTGCTGATATATGTACTGTCATTCATAAACGAAATCGTTTTCATTTATTTTCGCGAGTTCGCCGTTTTAACTGCAGTCAGTTTGTCGCATGAACGAATCCAATATCCAGGACCGACAGAATAGCCTAGCTTTCAGTACGGCCGCTTTCTATGCCGGTAACCGAATTGCATTTCGCCGACATCGCAAATGAAGCTTTAAGAATCACGACGCTGAGTCGTCCGGAAAATTTTTACACGACGCGATATTAGATATATCGTACAAATTCACCCGTTTCCATTAAACCGTATACGAGAATTAAGTTTAATTTATCCAACTAACATGTTTTGCATCATAAGATAATTGAATAATATATGATCACTCAGTACTGAATGAACTTATCAAGATTTTTATCAAGGAAAAATTAATTACAAATTATTATTATAAGAATATAAAGCGCAAAAATATTGCAAAACTCACTTACTAGAGAAAGAACAATTTTGCTAACATCAAGATATTAAAAAATTTAGTTTAGGTACACTGATTTGAAAAAATAATTTTGTTAAACTGTCAAAATGATTTTACAGAAATCTCAAGCATGATGAGTAATATTGCAGAAAATTTCGAATTCTAGTAAACCAGTTTGAGCGCCTAATTATTTTGAAAATTCAATAAAATTATTTATACAGATTTTTTTGTGTTTAGCTAAAATTTTAGATACTTCAGCAAAACATTTCTGTGTACATATGCTGTTGTTCGATGAAATATGTTTTTCTGCATTATATAGTGCAATAAGCTCGAATATTCCAATTCGTGAAGCAAACATTTATTTAGTCAATAAGATAAACATATTGACACATTAACGAATTAAATATAGATTTTTCTTGCAATCTTTTTTACGTTATTACTCTCGTTTCATGTATACATACATATAAACCTACAGTTATGTCGTAACAATGTTAAATTGTAGGACGATATGGTACCATCGAAACGACTCTATTGGAGTATCTCTCGCAGAAATAGCACGCAGAGCCGTTTCGATGTAAATGGTTTGCATTCTACAAACGTAAATACTAAAAACGTAGTACCTACTGTCGTCCTCAACGAATACGAACGAATGCTAACGCCCGATCGTAACCGATGCGTATGTTTGTCGCACTTCACCCGATTTTCAAATTCAATTTTGCTAGAAATAGGAACAATACGAAAATAAGTTCGCTGTATCTACAATACAAATATAAAGAATAAACTTTTTTAATCTCTTTTATCATAAATTTCAAGCGAAAATACTAAATATATTTAATATAAGGCTGATCAAATATAACATTGTCTCATTTATTATTTCCGATGGCACTGTTAGGTAAGACAGATTGGCATGTTATCAAAAGAGTAATGGTAACAATTTCTTGAATTAAAAAACATTTTGTTATTTGTAATTTCTATGTGTGTTAAAATGTAAATCAATTTATTTCTGTGATTAGTTTCAAAGTATTCAATATCCACATTAAGGTGTATACTTAGTAAAATTTAATACATTTTCTTAAGTTAAATTGTTTGATTCTGTGGTTTTAGTTTAATTAATGATGTTAAGTAAAAGTATAATAGTAGTGTCCTAAGAAAATGATTGATTAAAAATAGCTCAAACTAGGTATAATTTGACACGATAAATTTAACACACACGCACATACAATATACGAGAAAAATATATATATTTAAATATTTTCCATTGTAATAATTTGCATCATTCTTACAATTAGTTATGAAAGGCAAAATATGTCTTCATGTAGGAAAGAAGAAAACATGACAAGTTAATTTAGATTCCTTTATTTACTTTATAAAGTAGGTGATTTAAGTAACGGGAACATCTTATTTTACTTGAGTCAAAAATGTTGGTTGACTATGACTGAGTTGATACGGTCGAGTGTCCGCTGTTTGTGGCGTTACTTGCTACAAACGCCTCTATGTATACCGAGGAGTTTCTCCAAGTAAACTTCACGGCGTAACCGACCCCGTTCTTCGTGTTGCAGTTTCGGCACATTGGTTTACATGGCCACGCAAATAGCATCCGGCATGAAGTATCTTGAGGAAATGGACTTCGTGCATCGGGATCTCGCCACAAGGTAAGCGTGCACTGTTTCCCATAAGTTGCTTTGAGGGCTTGCTCATTAATGAGCAAGTTGTTGTTTGCCATATTATTGCAGTCTTGAAAGCGAAACTAAATACATGTACCGTAGAACCCGTCAGTCTTCCTTTCATCCCGACAAGCTTATATGAGAGCGAATGTGTAGAACAAAATGGTATCCCCGATGGATTAGCCAATTTCTTTTTTATGTTGCTACAACGAACGTGAAAGAAACCATTTTTTACCATTTTTATACGTGGCCAAACAAATACTATAGACTGTTGAGATACGATATATAATATTAATACTTTTTATACGTTAGTTTTTAAAATTAAGAAAAATTGATACACGGAAAAGAGGCTGTTATATTAGCAGCATTACTCTAATTAAAAATAATCTTGTTAATTCAGTAATATTAATAAAATAAATATGTTATATGCTCTTATTTTAATAAAATATTGTTTGTTTCGTTATTACTGTTATTGAATTATTTTCAATTAAACTAATGCAATCTGTTAATATAACATTAGTTTTTTCCGTATACCCACGCAATATTCCTTGCATATTTATGATTACAATAATTATATATATATATGCAGTATGAAATAATTGCGAAATAAATCAAAATAATACATTCGATTATATAACTACGGTACATCCTTTGTTCCGCGGAAATCAATTGAATTTCACCAATCTTAATTTCGTTTCCAGGCGAATGCTTCAATTTGTCTACAGTGATTCGCAATGATCGCTAGACGGAATCGTTTCATGTATCAAACAAGCAAACAAACAAACAAACAAATGCATACTCTATTCAATCTTTTTGTAAGCGTACGAAAGCATGCCTCTGGGCATTACAAATGGGATTGCTTTATTACGACGGCCGATTGTTTTATCGTCTCATTCCCCTTCCATATACGTAGTAATGGATTCCGCACCCCTAGACCGTGCTTCTCCACCCTCCATACGATTTGGAAACTCTTGAAACCCAGCAGTGTCGGCAGAGTGTAGCACGACACCAATACCGTAGGTAGAGCTATTAAAAGCGGGGGAATGAGATAGATACGGCCGGAAGGGTTTGGGCCGTGTGTTCGAATTATTAACTCTAATCGTAAACCTTAATTATCATGCCCTGTGGCGCGATCGTTGTCGCGACAGTAGCAAGGGTACAAGAAGCTAGACGAAAGGGGTGCAATTTATTCGTGATTTATAGAATTGGGTTCAGGGCTAAATTCTAATGCGGTGAATAGTTCTACTACTGAGGAATAAACGGTGGATACTAATATATCTGAGAATTATTATTAATAGCAGAACGCGAAAGGAAGGAAGACTAATAAATGCAGAATGATAAATCGATTCTTATTGTATAGTTAATTCAAGTATCACACATTTCCTTAGAATACTACACAGATTCTTCGTAATAGACATTTAACGTCTTTTATAATTTTTATTAACTTTTCGATTGTGTGTGTATCTTTTGTACGAAAAAGAATAATTTTGCCGAAGTATCTAAAAATTTATTTAGATATATAGATACAGCTTTAAAAATAATTTTGTTGAATTATCATTGAAAATAATTACGTAGGATGCTCAAGCATAACGAGTAAATACTTTGACATTCTAAGCTATTATCTTGAACGTGATACTTATACTTTGATAATTCAACAAAATTATTTTCAAGTCTACATCTGTCTAAACTTACTATAGATACTATAAAACTGTACTTTTCCCACGCAATCATTCTTCTGGTAATTTCTTCTCTAAAACGGCAATGTACATTATCTATATGTATATGTGTAATCGAAGTTATATGAACTACAACATAATATACAGATTTGCACGATTTTGTGAATTATAAAAAAACATTATCGAATTTGAATGCTCGAGAGAACAAAATGGAAATAAACGAGCAAGATTTTTATGATGCGCTGGAAGAAGAAAAACTTGCCAGCAAATCAGGTAGAATGCGCAGACGTTGACAACGGGTGTGAAAATACCCACCGGTGCGCGTAAAATAAAAGCGTCGTGGCAGCTACTAAACCATCCCCTCGTCGCCCCACGAATCACCCCTTTACCATGGAGCGCGATAAACGACGAGGTTTACGCGCAAATCAGCGCGAAACTTGGAACGACCGTCGTTTGAGACATACTCGCAACGAACCTATTGTGAGCTGCTTAAATGTGAGCTTCCGAGAAACGATTTCACGCATCAGCCGTTCATAGTCAACGTATTTTATTGAAGAAATTTATCTGTTAATTATATTGAAAAATTTCTTCGCTAACATTTTGAAGCCTCTCATCTCTTTTTCATTTTCTTCAAAATTATTTTATAATTCTCTTTATGATACATCTTGTCGATATGTGTACTCTAAAAGGGGTAGAATATATTTATAATCATATAAAGAATTAAACTAGAAAAAAAAATATCAATTTAAAACCTATTTCCAACTGTATAGAAAAAAATCATAAACTGGAAAACTAGCGTTTAGTTATGCTCGCGCGATATTTTCGATAAACTACTCTGTTTGTTTTTGATATGGCTGCCACGTGCAGAATATAAAAAATAGAACGTACGAACACATATTCATTTAGTTGTATACGAACCGATACGAACCGATAGAATATTGCATAGTTGTACAGTTAGCAGAGATCTCATGGCCAGCGTTTAATAAAAAGAATGGAAGTGTTAATTTGATCAAAGAATAATTCTATTGTTTTCCAGTTTAAAATTCGCGAGTGGAAAATATTTCGGGATATATTACACAGTGGGATGAAAAAGGGGTGCTTCAGCAGAAATTAAGAGACGAATATTTGTGAATTTTTTTCAGAAATTGTTTAGTGTGCCGCGGATGCACGGTTAAAGTATCTGATTTGGGTAGCGGACGAAGCGCATATGCGGCGGATTACTTCCGTGTCGAAGGACGTCCTCCATTACCGATTCGATGGATGCCATGGGAATCAATGCTAATGGTGAGTGTACAATAAATGCTCATTGTACATTTAAACATGCAGTATGTATATTTTAACTTTCATTCCTTTTCTCTCTCTTTTTCTCTTCCTCTCTCTCTCTCTCTCTCTCTCTCTCTCTCTCTCTCGATATTTTTCACCTTTGAGTACGAGGAAATTTAGCGCGCGCAACATAGCTTTCCGCGTGTGTGCGCTTTTTCCGGAAGCTTCCGATTTAGACAAGCACTCGCGCGTTAGTGGCAATAAAGATCAGCGATGCGAAAGTTCGATGGAATTATAAATAAAAAAGAGAGGATAAATCAAATTGGCGCAAACGACTTTCGCTCGTAAACGAGCGAAATAGACAAGGGAGACAAAACGAGAGGACGTGTCGGATCGCTTTGATTTCACTCTACGCATGGGTGGGACGCTGTGTTTTGACGAACTACGGCTACGCATCCATGCGATGAAATTTGGTTTCGCTCGGATGCGTACTTTTTTTCATTGCTTTTCACATCCGGAAGTCAAACCTCCCTATTCGCCATTACATATCGGCATTACCTATAAATCGACATTTTCGCTATCCGTCAGAAATGCATATCATCGTACTAAATACTGTAATGAAGAAGTATCTCTTTCGATTTATAGATGATGTGATGAAAGCGTTGTGTGAAATATTAATTTGAAATAAACATTCCTACTCATGAATTATCAAAGATCTATATATTATAAAATGTGTATCATAAAATGTAATCGATAAGACCCGTATTGTTTTATTGCCAGTGAGTTACGTATGATACATCTGCCAATCTCTCCATCTTTTAAATAAACGAATTCGCCAATTATGTCATTAAATTGGTATTAATAGCACGCGCCAAGCCGTACGCAATAAAATTGATTTAGAACTGTCGTTGATTATTCTTCTTGTTAATCTGTCTTTCCCATTACGCAAAATGAATCGCATTAGAGATTTCTGTTCAACCCATTGGGAAATAAAGAAGTTTCGAAGTCTGTTATTTATAAAAGATAAGAAAAATTCTCTCTAATAAACTTTATTTCCGGATGGAAATGAAGTTTTACGTTTCATTTAATATATCTTGTCTTTAATTTCTCAATTGTCGCTGCCAATATTGAATTGTCGATCCGCGAAACCGCTCGACATCAGGCCGATAGAGCTGTCTGCGGTCACGTTGGTATTAGCGAATTGAGCTTACCCCATCACATTGCGCGATACGCGTCATTGAGCTATAAAAGTGTCGGAGAAAATATGCGATACGCGTTTGGAAATTCATTTTCGATGTTGAGCGGCTTTTTCGGCTTAACCGCTCGACAATCCAAACACAATCGTTCCGCTTCGCAAGCTAACGCATCGAACATGGCGTTTCCGTTGTTTTCGCTGGCGTTACAATGTGGACGACGATGAAAGATACTTGCGTTTACTTTTCATGAAAATTCGGACAAATATGTACCGACCTGGCGGAAAGAGAGAACTTTTTCCGCTAGTGCTTAAAATTAAAATATTACGAGCGCGCTGTGCTTAGTAGGTTATACTCGCACTACAATCAGACACTACGCGGAAAATATAAATAATAATATCGTATATTTAATAATAGCACCATTACAATAATATATTTGTGTGGCTAACAATTTCATTTGCATGAAGTATAAGATACTTTTAATTTGAGAGGCATTAATTCAAATATTTAAAAATTGTACAAAACGACTTGAGATTCCGTAATTCATAAAAATTTTAATGGACTGACCTTTAAACATTCAATCATTTAAACATCTAAAAATATAGGAGGGATTTATAAACCTTCAATGATAAAAAATTCCAGAAATGAAATATTTATAAAATAATTATGCAAAAATAAAAATGTAAATCGCTAATACTTTTAAAATTTATAAAATTATTCTTTTATATTGCTTCAACTTAGATCAAATATATATTTTTACGATTCAATATCTTTTCATTTGAAAAATTAATTTTAAACAAAAAAATCAAAATTTAATTTCAGTGTCTAACTGTGCATAGATTATTACATCGCTACTCTATTTTTTGTCGTTATTTGCGGAAATAGTATATTCATTGTACCTGTGTGTAATGGCAAATTAATATCAAAATGGTTATTGGACGAAACAGAAATGAGGCTGGGAAATATAGTATTGAATAGCTAGTTGGCGTCGTCATTTCAAACTGACTGCGCCATTAATGTTTCATTATTACCCATCATTTATCCAACCTCCGCCATTGTGTCGCACTAATGAAACGATCCCGTTTCCACGTGCGAAATACCGCTTCAAAAATTATCCGGGATTACCGTCGATTTAATAGTTTCATATCGATCTTGTGATCATGGAGATCATTCTTTATAAGATTATTCGACGATTACACATCACAGAGTTTGTTAAAACGCGATGCGACCATGTTTAATTTATTGTTATTCAGGATTTTTATTACAGAAGTGTCAAATAAAATATAACAGCATTTTTAATAGAACTTTAATTTATTATTACGTATAGGATATAATAACATTTTTTTATTTTGTGTTTTTTATATTCTGTTATATATTAAACGATAAACGTTGGCTTTGTTATTACTGGTTTATTGCTTGTACATAGATCGTTATTTATCGCGTACACATTATTTAGCTTCAACAATTTGAAGTAACGTACAAGTAATGATGCGCATGTAATTTTGTATCGCGCACTTCATAAATAATCGAATCATGTCTTAAGATCCTCCCGAACATGCGCAAACTACAAACTCTGCACGCATGTGCTATCTTCTCAGCGTATTACCAGCAGCAGAGATTATGTAATTTAAGTACCTAAGTTGCGGTAATTTCACATCAAGTACACACAATCGTTTAATCACAAATCGATTCAAAATTACAATGTTATTACACAGCAAGATCTTTCGCGATTACTTCTCTTATTTATAATATTAATATTCTATCTTTATGCCATTAACTTTTTCTGTAATTATTATTAAAATATATTTTTCTCGTAAGTAATTCAGAATATTCTTCTTAGCAAGCTTATTTTAAATCTTGTTGATAATAAATATTTAATTATATATATATAATATATACATTTATTTTCTACATATTTCTTCAGAAAACGTTGTATGTTTGTATGAACGTAGCATTGATATTAATTAAAACTTGTAGCTACTGAAGCTTTTATACAACTTGCCGTTAATATATTTTATCATGTAATTATTTTACTTAATGGGTCATACACATGCCAATGGGAGCGGAAGATACATCCAACCGTCAATGTGAGGAAAAGAGTAAAATCGTGTAACTGCTTTATGGCGTTCCGCGAAGCTTGGGCTTAACTGAGTTACTCGGTTGAACTTTAGGAAACTCGAAGGCGCATACAGTTTCCATAAATTACTCCTTCACGCTCAAACATTAGATTTCTGCGTCAAGCATGTCGCGCTTTTAATTATTTTTGCGGCTTACCAAAGACAGATATCAACTTAAATATGTATGAAAGGAAACAGAAATTATACTTATATTGTCGCAATATTACTTTGCAATAAGTAATCTAAAAACAATGCAATTCTATATATACATTCCAGATTTATTACACCGTAAAATAAACTTATCCAATTATATCGGAATGCTCAACAAATTTCAAGCGCTCTTAAGCTGCAAATAGTAAAAGCTGCCAAAGCTAATGAATATAGTAAACGGACTTTTGTAAAATTTTCTTGGTTGTGTTTACATTAAACAGGGAAGACATACTTGCAAGGGCGACGTCTGGGCGTTTGCCGTCACGCTGTGGGAAATACTGACATTCGCGCGGGAACAGCCGTTTGAGGAGTTTCCGGATCATCGAATAGTGGAGAATGCGACTTACTTTTATCAAGAGGATGAGCGAAGGGTAAGTGCGCGGAGTAATTCTTCGACTTCTTTCCCTCATTGTGTCCGATGTACTTAATGTAATGAGTGCACTGAGTACTTGATTTCGCATTGAGTGCCTCGCGATGCTTTCAGGGCTTTGAACGCCGCTATTTATTCCGTCTTTCAGACTTCTGATTACCTTACTCCGTAGATTCTTACTACATTTTTTTTCTGTTCTTTACGTAGCTTCTTTAAAGAGCAGTCTGGACATGTCCTGCTTCTCTAAGACTAATTGTAGGATAATTAACATCGTGTTGAAAAAGCAGGCTTAAATAAACGCGCACGGTGTCGAACATGTAATTATAAAAGTGGGAGTTTCCATGAAAATGGCAGAACTACTTGCTTAGTAATTCATATAATGTAATAAATATTGCGTCGCACTCGAGCCAGTCGCGTTCATTTTCCCAACATCAAGAGTACTTCAAACTAACACGCGCATTGTAAGAATTGTTATTCTATACTCTCTCAGTTTTGTAGAGAGAGTTTGTTAATATTTACAAACACAGTTCATTGTATAATAAATATTGTGATTAATTACGCGAGCAAAATATTTTTATTACGTCTGTGCCGTGCATTTCTGTAATATCGTGTTAAATTTATAATGAAATTAGTCGCGTGCAATCTGCTTTCTATTTTGGTTTAACGCAAAACTACGTGAATGCATTTATTATGTATTATTATATAAAATGTTTAGTTGGCGATATACAATAGAGTAAGATGGTATAATTTCGCGAACGTAATACAATTTTGAAATAAGATTTGATTCGAATTTTCAAAGTTCAAGTTTGATTTTTCTTGTTTGGCACTCTTCAGTATCCTCCACACGACCACACAATAAGATATAAGAGTTACCATATTTGAATCTCGAAAATTGGATTCAAATTTTATTTCGCATAGAATTGTACCATGTTTGAAATTGTACCTTACTCTACATAACTGATGACGTTAGACTCGACTTATGCTTATTTTTGTACAGATGATACTGCCACTGCCAAAAAACTGTCCCAAAGAGATCTACGATCTGATGCGCGAATGTTGGCAGAGGAATGACGTCGACAGACCAAACTTTCGCGAGATCCATCTGTTTCTGCAACGAAAAAATCTCGGTTACAAGCCCGGTGAGTCGAACGATACTTGATATAGAGAACTGGAAGGCTGGAACCTTATCCGGCTTTCTATGATCGGCGAATTAAATGGTAATTGGTGGAACTGCCCTTCATCGACCAAGCTAGACCAAGTCAGACCAAGTTAGTACCTATAAGGGTGACGATTCATAAATCGGCTATAACGAACGTAAACTGTTTGTAATGACATGGTCGGACGCGTGTCCATCGTGTCCATAATAACTACATTGTACGGTGACACTTGGGTGCGAGAAAAAGATATAGGAGTCTACGAGCTGATCGCGCCCAGAACTTTTCACGGTTCACGATATTAATGTCCCTTTTTTTAACCGTCGCCATACATCGTTGTGAACAGCGCTGTGAATTTAATCGATAACCGGTATGAACCGCACAAATCACTGTCGCCGTAACGCAAACTGTCCGTGTGCAAACTACGAGACATTGTCTACCAAAATTCGCTCTTTTTTTTTAATGATTCCTTTGAATGAAAACTGCAGATAACTGCGTTACAGACAGATCGACAACTACATATTTCTTCGAGATACGCATAATGATGCGCAGTGCTTGACAATAGAATATTAATTTTTTTATAAGCACTATTTTTAATCTACTAGATATTAATTTTTGTACGTATACGTATATATATCATCATTTGATTGACATATTATTAAAAATTTGTAAACTATATATATTATACACACTTAATTATATATAAAATGATAGGTACTCGATCTTCTGGCTTATTCTCGTACAACTTCACCGTTCTCTTTTATTTCTTTGCTCGTTATTCTTTTATCAATCGCCTACAGAAGTTACACGTTGACCAAAACGGATAGCCCCACAATAATGATACCGAGTCTCCACGGTACCTACCATATCCAGGCTCGCGCAATTGAAATGGATAGATTATGATTTTGATCCGTGGCATTCGATACGAAATGGAACGTTACTAGTGCTGGCAATACGAGGGGAGCACGTTCGATAAATCGCACATACGCTGTTCCGAAATTGATACTGTCAGCAAACAAGCTTATGATATTCGCGCCGTAACGGCACTCGTGTCACGTTCGGGATATACGTGGATCGGACTTGAAAATCGCGAGTTGTACGTAATATTTCCACCGACGAATAACATAGTCATTTCTAAACTCCGATCCGCGAAATAAAAAAAATGGACCTTTGTCCAAGATCGAAGTCCGCTGATCATCACGATGGGATTACGTTATCCGTTCTCGGGCCTTTTATATGTCGGTTTCATAAATGTGTTTACGAAAGAAACTTGTTTTTCCAAATCTAGATACAGATATATGACGTATACATATGCCATTTTTAATACAATTAAGTGAGTTGTTATCTTTAGGAAAGCAAAAAGTCTATATGAGCGTATACGATCGAGTCGATTATATTATAATAAGCCAATGTGTTTCCGGTGATGTTTAACTGCTTGTACTCTTTGTCTCATTTTATTTTTCAAGCTATCGTCTTTAAGAAGACAAATAAAAATAAAAACAGACTAATTATTGTTCCTCCAACCGTTTAATTGCACGACCAATATCCTTCCTTCTACTTCAGTTAGACGAAGATTTCTCGTTAACTTTTTAATTGAACACTCGCCATAGTGGCGCGTATAGAAAGAATTATACGAACGTCGCTTCAAGGAGCTTATCAATGCACAAAAAATTATGAAATGGGTTAAGAGGAACATTCTGTAAAATTAATCATTGTGCCGTACAAGAAGCATTTTTCGAAGAGTACGGGAAAAGGTAATCTTAAGCCGCGTTAAGTTTTCGTTAAGTTCCCTTAAACTACTCTTAAGCTTAAGATGCGCTTAGCCGAAGTGCATAAATGTTTGACAATACCATTAGAGGTTGCAGTATAAATTCATATAAAGTGTGTAAAGAATGTTGAAAAAAGAATTAATCGACAATGTAAATTATTAGATTATTATAAGACCGTCATTCTATTGGCGGTCGTGTCGCATAATCGTTTTAGGATCGTTAACTCTATCGATACACAAAACTTCTCTCGTGCCCCGTTGCTCGACTTCGGCAAAAGCCGTAAGACGGATGTATCGTGATTCTAGGAGGAAAAAAGGAGCACATGTGACCTGATGTTAAGTTTATAGTGTGGAATAGAGATGGGCGATTTACCCGGTAAATGTTTCTGCTTCATTTCTCACGCATAAGAATCCGATCAATTCTCTGAACGATCTATAAATATTTATAGAGAATGCTTGATTTAACTATTCATGCTTACTTTTAACAATTACATTTGTCAGATTATCGTTTATCCTTTGAATTTTTTGTTCCCATACTCTCAAACCGACATGTATTTCACATATTCCAGCAGTAAGACATTTCCAGGTAAATAGCTATCGTTAGTATGAAATATGAAAGACTTATATACTTGTTAGAATGGTTCTGTACGTGTAGCGAAAGGGAAACAATAGTTGTGCGAAACACGACAGAGATATTCCGACGTTCAAAAACTTGTACGTCACGTAAATTCCGATACGTTGTTCTAGGTACCTTGCCTCGCGCAGGCTAAGAGATTCATGCTCGTGATCTGTAAGATAATTAAGAGTAGAATATATATATAAGCGATGAATGTGTACGATTAAACAATAATAAGAAAAGAATTCTTGTTCTTCTTTATGTCGTATTGTTCGCAGAATTTATCTTAATAAGTTAAAGAGATTATTATATTTAATCTCAGATAAACACGTGAGTCTAATAATAAAAGTATCTTTTTGAATTTTTAATCTTTATATCTCTTCTAATTATAGTTTTATTTGTTTCTTTCATCTAATTCTCCTTTCTCATTATTTAAACAATATTCAAAAAAAATTTATTAAAAATTTAATGTTTAGATCATGATTTATATAACTCAACGATAACAAATAAACTACGGATCAAGTTTTAATTTCATTCGATTATAATTTGATTAATTATGAAAATGAAAAGTCCTTAATGTTGATGACGAACTAATATATATACAGTTAAGAATACCATAAGGACTACTGCCACAACGTTAGCAAAACGAATATATCGAGTGATATAGATCGCGACCTCTTAATTCCAGGTCCAGCGATTAAATACTTTATAAATTAACTTAATTCTTTATATATTATATATATATATAAATATATACTTATGTTCAATATTTCAAATGTATGTAAATGGTATGATTGCCAGAAACATCCAAAAGCGTTCGATCCTGCAAGACCCGCGGATGTATCTTTTACAGGGCTGATGTATATATAATTATTTGGGAGTATGTAATATATAATAATTTTAGACTGAAACTTCCTGCACGATCGAACGTGATTCAAACTACGTTATATATAGATACTTCTTCCTACAAAAAGAAATGTAAAATAAAAATTTTTCGCGTATATAACTTTTTATATCAGTCGCTTTATTTATTTGAAAAGAAAATTGCATAATATAAAATATGATTATATCATTAATATTTAACAAAAATATAATTTATTTTATATAAAAATGAAACATGCTTCAAAAAATGAGACATATCTTTCTAATAACAGATCTTCCATAATTATCATTGAAAATTCGACATATCGTACACATATCGCCTCCTATTTACATCGAAAAATAATTAAATTTAATAAATCAATTAAAAATTAAAAACAGTTCTTTTTGTAGGAAGTCTTCTCCTTGACGTTCAGAGAAAACCGTAAATGTGAAAATTATTGTAGATTATTACGTAAAATCGAATCACAACTCCGCCGACTATTTATTCTCAACATAGCGATAATCTATTAAGCGGACGGAAAAAACACTTTGTACAATTTTTAATAACGAAACTCTAACTGTTGTAAATGCATCAACTCCGATCTCGTATTATACGTTTCTTCCAATGAGCGCGTCGGCGAGTTGGTCGAAAGTGGATTAGGCTGCAAAATTAAGATTCCTCCCACTGCAGAAGCCTCGTAAATCACGCACAGTGATATTTACAAACTGATATACAGCGTAATTGTTAAGATATACTTTAATTAGTACGAAGGTAAGGAAGATTTATAAGAAAGAGTGAGAAAAACTATAAGTTTTTGCAAAATTTATACGATGAGATTTTATACTGTCTCGAAACTCGGACGTCGCTTAATCGCCTAAATACGTAACACAATTCAATGCATCGACCAATATGTCGAGGAAGACAATATCGCGAAATGTGCTTCGGCAGTGGTACGAAATACGATTCAATGAGAAAAGAACTTTACCATTTCTCTGGCGAACGAAAAAGATTTACACAATTTATTCGGGCATCGCTCGAGCGTATCCACGTTCGCTGGAGTCTGATTTTCGTTGAACAACGCGTTCTCTCTTTTACCAGCTCAAACGAGCTCTATTTTTCATGCGTACGCAGCCAATGGCAGCGGCCCGATCGCACACTCGCCTCTCGCCGTTAGACGCAAACAAAAGTCGAAACTCGGACGCTCCGAGTACACGCGGATTCCGCGTTTGCCGATGGAATTTAATATCTGCTGCCTTCGTTACGAAACACACGGCCATGCTTTTTTTTTTCCATCCTTTTCCCTATTCGTTCGCCTCATCCCTCACTATTCATTCTTCGCGCTCGTTTCTCAATACGATCGAGGAGGTATCAGCCGAGAGAGACACGATCTTTGCTTAAAATACGCAATAGAATCGAACGAGATGGAACAGCATTACAAATCGAATTAAATTCCTGCATCACGTTTACATCGTTATTACTCGGATGCATTGCATGCCAATTTCGAATTCTTTGATCTCAGATAACCACACTAACGTACTCGCGCAAATAAAATACGTACCGGAAAATTTTATAATTATGATTTTTTGCTAAAAATTTCCTGTAAATCTATCACGATTAAATGAAAATCTGTATTAAACGCATCATGTAAAATTTATTATAAAATAACACAGAAAAGTAGTAATCAGTAATCCACAAATTTAATGTTTCATAAGTTTCTACGATTTTACTTTCAAAATATTCGCGTGAACGTGAGTTCGCGTTCGCTTTTGGTTTCGCAAAATCTCAAGTTATTTGAAACTTTGCACGGTATAAAGCGATGCTTTTATTGATTTCGTGTAGAGAACCCGTCACATATATATCTCCAATTCACACTCGTCTATCATATTACCGTTGTCTGTCGAATAATTTACGTAAAGAGCGTGCTCATATTCTCTCTCTCTCTCTCTCTCTCTCTCTCCCGCTCACTCGCTCTTTCTTTTTCCCTTGTGCTCACAATAGCCTTTAGACAAATAAATATCGTCGTTCCAGGCTGCTAGACATGCACGGCGAAACGGCACATGCCAATCTCTGCGTGCAAATATAAACGGCGAAATGGGTTGTAAATAAGCAGATTGCGCACAGTGGCTAGT